AAGAAATAACGAAGCACTTATGGGTTATATTACCCGTGCGCCATGATGTTGTTTAAACTTCAAATTCATATCACAGCCTAGCTGTAAACTACAAAAAGAGTACCCGTCGCCCTCTTAAGGGCGAGCGAGAATGAAAAATACACATCGTTCATCTCCCAAAAGCAAGTGAAGATACACCCTAAGAAGTGAGACCTCGGTATAAGAGCTACTCAGACAACACAGTTTGATGCTATCTTGCCCAAATAACCGTATCATCAAACAAACAAATCCTCTTAGAGAATTAATCTGTGTACAGTAACCGCGTCCCTACAGTTGATCCTATCGTCAATACAGCTTTCTGTTGGATTTTATCAAAAAACAAAGCTGTGTTTAAAAAAAAAAAGGAAGCTATCTTCATATCACAACTTAATGGCGTTCAAACGGTGCACAAAGGTGCTAGCTAATGCGTTTCATTATTAAAATGCGAGGGAGATGGGAGAGGAGTGTGTTTATCCAGGGATGTTCCCCTGGTGGCACATTACAGTGGGGCACCGTTTTTACCGCTACTGTGATAGGCATTTTTAATGGAGTGCCAGCACCTTTGTTGTGTGAGTACCAGCACCTTTGTGTATCCTGGAGGGGGAGGGGGGGGGGGGGGGGGGGGGGGGGGGGGGGGTTCAACTTTGAAAAAAAAACCTTGTCATGTCCAGATGAAGCATAAACAGTAGGAAAGTTCAGCCCCCCCCCCCAAACCGATCCGCTGCTACCTCAAAGTTTAATACACTGAGATTACAAAATCTCAACTGGATGGCAGACTTACAGGGGGTATCCATGTTTGTAAAAGTACAGACAATATATTTAATTATTTGCTGTTCTACCTTACCCACCCCCCCCCCCACCCGACAATCAACTTCGCAAAATGGTCCTGTCCACTGCTATTGCAAGGGAGTCACCCCATGATTTTAATCTATAGTTCCCTTCACCAAGTAGTGTTTTTTTTTTTGCCTTTCTATCTTTGTCCTTGTGGGTTCTAATGTGAAGACATTCTAGTTATGTTGTTCTCAGGTTTTCTCAACGTGTGTCCTATCCACCGCCAGCGTCTTTTCTTCGCCGGTGATTTCATTATGGCGTAGTAACAATCATGACAACTTTTCCAACAGCTGCAGCAACAGACGGTGTGGAAAGAGACTCAATGACTCAAAACGGCAGCCACCAGGGCCTGACACAGCTCGGCTATGGGTTAGAATTCACAGACATTAACTTTATACTGAAGAAGATTGCAGATGAGCTGGACAGGCCTTACAAAGAATGGCTGGCAGCAAGGGATGATGTAAGTAAACTATTTATATTGTTTATGTTACCCGAAGGGGCTGCGTGGTCTCGAGGCATGGTGTCTGCCTCGAGTGCTAGAGGTTCCAGGTTCAATTCCCTGCAAGGGCTGGGATTTTTTAACGCGGACTTGAATAGATTTTTAACTCCACATTTTGCGCCGTTAGGCTACTCTTTTCAATTCCCAACTGCTAACGTATTTTTATTATGTGCGCAATAATGCACACGGGGGTCTGATCTGACTACCCAGAGACCAGGGGGAAATACTAGAAGTCCAAGTCCACGTGGAAAAATTCCAGCACTTACCGTGCCTCGAGACCACGCAGCCCCTTGGCATTTCCTGTTTTGGTGTTCAACAAGGCTGCGATTTCTGCACTTTTTGATCCAATACACCCATTTTCGACAAACCCTGAATTAGTCCTTATTCTCAGCCAACAGTGAGCCATGGAGATTGTCCACTCCATGCTGTCTCCTAAATTCATCTACAAGCAACAAATTGTGTAGATTACCCACTACATACCGTTCCCTTTTCTAGAACATGCTTTAAACCTCAGACATTATTCCAGTGAACTGTGACTAAAAAAAGCTCAACTGAATGAGGAAGCAAAACAATGAGCACAAAACACAAAATTGACGTTTCGGGGCCTTTATCAGCATGAACTAACTACACAACAATAACAAAGGAAAAAGTACCCAAACCACTAGAAACTGTAAAAAGGTGATGTGGAATGAATTAAATAAAATGAAGACAACTTTCAGTATTTAAGACTATCCACACTAAGCTGCTTGCTTTCTAAATATTTAGTACCGAGTTTATGACCACCTTCGCTCCTTATGGGGTCACTACATACGTTCTTAAGAGTGGTGGCTCTATTTATTTTTCCCCCTATGAAACACACAGGGATAACTTAGAGCTCTTTTTTTTTTAAATTATTATTCAAATGAATGCTTCCCTGTTGTAAGTTTTAAACAAGAAGGCACAAACAATATATAGCAAAATAAATTATCTGCAATAAAACCCACACTGGAATGAACATTTTAAGGCAAGGAAGCAAGAGGTAGACAGAGACACAAATGGGAAGACAATATCAAGAGATGGAAAAATGGCAGTTTCAAAGAGTGGACACTGAGTGAAGGAGATCACTTGCAGCCAAACCTCATTGTGGAAACAGCACTTGGCTGATTCCTGGGCATATTTCTACATTGAACAACACAGCTGTAAACTCAGGATTACCTGGCTACCCAGGTAGCTATAACTGATTCTAATGTGTGTCTGTATTTATTCTTCTTCTTTCGTGTTCATCTGGAGATGTAGATGCGTTTGTGCACGTCTGCAACATGGCTGCGATAATTGTGCCTTTCAAGCGACACATCTGACTTTTGCAGGCATTTGATGCCCGGGTTAGTGTGCTTGTATTTCAGCTAAAGGGATCCATTTTTTGTGTTCCCCCCGTGTGGGTTCTGGGGCCCCATTGTGGGGGAAAACAAGAATAGACCCACTGCCTCCCCAAAAGCATGTCGTAAGAGTCGACTAATTGGGGAGCTTCCTTTGAAGTCGGAGTGCATCTGCCGGAGAGGCAGGGAACCAACAGTCTGTATTCGAGAGAATGAGATCTGTAAAACTGATGCACACGCAACACTCAGGTTCTGGAGCAGGACTGCAGTTCAGTAGTGGACGAGCAACCAGAACCTTCCGCCAGAGTTTACAGCTGGTGAACGCGTAGAAGAAAGAAGAAGAAGAAGAAGATTTTTGTGTTTCATTGTATATTTATGAAATTCTGCACCTGACAATATACAGCAAAAATATGCCAGGCAATAAATTTGACATTTAAATTGTGTGCTGTCTGTCTCCACAATAAAAGCTGGCTCAAGTGTCTCTACCTACTGCTGTCGGTGGAAATTTCTTAAACTGTCTTCGCGCTCACCAGCGGTAAACCCCGGAGGAGAGTTCTGGCAATTTGTCCACTTTTTGACTTCTACCATTTTCTACAACTTGAGTTCTGCATGCACATACATTCTATAGATTTGACTTATTTGTGGGCAGACCACTGACTGATCATGCTCTCATGCAGATGCACTCTGACTTTAAAGGAAACACCCATAACTACCGTATTTCCCCAAATATAAGACACACCTATTATCCAAAAACATAGGGCACACAAACAGGCGTGCGTTTTATACAGTGGCAGAAGATCTTTATGTTATCATATTATTTTTGTCTCAAAATTTCCACCCCCAAAATCTTGCGCATGGGATCTTCCTATGCTTGGGGAAATATGGTATCACCTTTTGCAACATGTCTTTTAGGGGTAGTGGGTTTATTCTTCTGTTCCCCAAAACTGTGCCCTGAAACCCACATAGGGAGTTTTGGGGAATATTACGTGGTGAAGCCCCAAAACCCACACTGCGAGTTTTGGGGAATATTACATGGTGGCCCCAAAACTGAGCCCTGGAACAGACATGGGGAGTTTTGGAGGAATCTTAAGTGGTGAAGCCCCAAAACTGTGCCCTGGAACCCACATGGGGCGTTTTGGGGAATATTACGTGGTGAAGCCCCAAAACTGTGCCCTGGAACCCACATGGGGCATTTTGGGGAATATTACGTGGTGAAGCCCAAAACTGTGCCCTGGAACCCACATGGGGCGTTTTGGGAAATTTATGTGGTGAAGCCCCAAAACTGTGCCCTGAACAGACATGGGATTTTTGCGGAGCCTTACGTGGTGAAGCCCCAAAACTGTCCACTCTTGTTTGCGTCTCCTTTGTTCAATTTGTCTCCCAGCTGTACAGTTTGGCCCACCCTGGGCCTCAAAACTGTTAATGAATAAACTGTCCACATTTCTATTGTGTTTCTAATGTTCACATACAAAATAATGTTAAAATACCAAAGAAAATCATGAACCTGAGGCAATAAAAGAAAAGGATTATTTATGACAGCTGTTGTAAAGTAGTGGCTAGATACTATCTTGCTGCCTCGAAGGCGTTAAGTTCAAATCCGCGTTGAAACATAAATCACAATATTTTTTAAAGATGTAACAAAACTGAATCATTTTAAAGTAAACAAACAAGGAAAACTCAAAAACAGCTGTGGAGACCCAAACTCTTCCACGGTGCAGCTAGTAAAGGAGTTCATCTGCCCAACCGGCAATGAACAACCAACTGCACACAAATAAGTCAGTAAAATGATTGTACAAGCAAAACTCAGGCCCTGGCATGAAGCCAAAGTTCAAATGGACGAGCAACCAGGACTTTACAGCCGGTGAACAAAAAAAAAGAAGAAAACAAGTGACAAGATAAGGGGTAACTATAAACACACCGATAGCATGAACAAATAAGAAGAAGAAAACAAGTGACAAGATAAGGGGTAACTATAAACACACCGATAGCATGAACAAATAAGAAGAAGAAAACAAGTGACAAGATAAGGGGTAACTATAAACACACCGATAGCATGAACAAATAAGAAGAAGAAAACAAGTGACAAGATAAGGGGTAACTATAAACACACCGATAGCATGAACAAATAAGAAGAAGAAAACAAGTGACAAGATAAGGGGTAACTATAAACACACCGATAGCACTAACAAACAAAACACACACACACACACACAAGCACACATTATGTCCTGTGAGGAACACATATAACTGTGACAGTAGTTCAGAGGTTGATAAAGTGCAGTCCCTACTCTACTTACCCTTCTTTTCTGGGCCTTTGACTTCTTCCCTGTGGTGGTTTGGCTGGAAAGTTCCTCTTCTGTACCTTTGTCAGCATCTTCATCTGTCTTTTCTGTAACTGTTTCCTCCTCGACTGTGTCTGATGGTATCTGCAAAGTAAAAGTAAAGTACCCCGTTTCCATTCATTCAGGTGTATTGGGCATATAGGGTTAGAGCTATACTCTATAGAACAATCGACCCTTGGTGGGTGATGTGGTCAACATCACGCCCGCCGCCTTTACTTCCCAGGTGCAAAGTGAAGGAAACCACAATGAGGAAGTCTTTCGAATATTATTTGAAAGACTATTTTCGCTGCTCTGCAAAAAAGACTTTTGTTGGCACAAAATGCAAGTCCAATTTAAATTAATCATATTAATACTGAACATTAACATCTTAATTTTTTTGCGGGTCTGCGTTGTAAGTAGCTTGCCTTGCAGTCAGAAAGTTGGTGGTTTTGTTTTGGGCCATGTTGCCTGGTTTGTGAGGGCAAATGTTTCTTCAGGGGTGAGTATGGGTGCCACAGAGATCATTCATTGGGCAATTTTTCCCTAAGAGTGGGTATTAGTGCCACAGAGTTCATAAACTGGGAAATTTGTCCCTAAGAGTGGGTAATAGTGCCACAGAGTTCATACTCTGGGGCACCTTTTCCCTAGGGGTGGGTATTGGCGACACAGTGTTCTTACATTGGACAATTTTTTCCTAGAGGTGGGTATGGGTGCTAGAGCTCCTACACTGGGCAATTTTTCCCTAAAGGGTGGGGACTGTTGCCACAGAGTTCATACACTGGGCAATTGTTTTCCCTATGGATGGTCATTGGTGACATAGAGTTCATACACAGGGCAACACTTCCACCAGGTGGCCACCTGCTCTGCAGAGACACTGAGTCATTTGGGATGACAATAAATCAATCCTCTCTGTTCATATAACAATATGCATAATATGAACATCAAGGAAAAACCCACAAAAGCAAGGATGGCAAATGCATTTGCACATACACATATGCCCACTCATCCATTCACTTACTGGCTCGCATGCACACACAAACACTTATCCATCCATACATACACCTTTATTCATACATACATACATATACACTCACATACATACATGTACATAAGAGAGAGAGAGAGAACTTTCAATACAGAATAAAAAGGCATAGTGACTGGCACTTTAGGTGTGGAAAGGAAAGAATGAGTGACTGGCACTTTAGGTGTGGAACGGGAAGAATGAGAGAGTGACTGGTACTTTAGTTGTGGAACATGAAGAATGAGAGAGTGACTAACACTTTAGATGTGGAACATGAAGAATAAGTGAGTGACTGGCACTTTAAGTGTGGAACATGAAGAATGAGAGAGTGACTGGTACTTTAGGTGTGGAACAGAAGAATGAGAGAGTGACTGGTACTTTAGGTGTGGAACATGAAGAATGAGAGAGTGACTGGCACTTTAGGTGTGGAACATGAAGAATGAGAGAGTGACTGGCACTTTAGGTGTGGAACGTGAAGAATGAGAGAGTGACTGGCACTTTAGGTGTGGAACATGAAGAATGAGAGAGTTACTGGCACTTTAGGTGTGGAACGTGAAGAATGAGAGAGTGACTGGCACTTTAGGTGTGGAACATGAAGAATGAGAGAGTGACTGGTACTTTAGGTGTGGAACAGAAGAATTAGAGAGTGACTGGCACTTTAGGTGTGGAACATGAAGAATGAGAGAGTGACTGGCACTTTAGGTGTGGAACATGAAGAATGAGAGAGTGACTGGCCCTTTAGGTGTGGAACATGAAGAATGAGAGAGTGACTAGCACTTTAGGTGTGGAACAGAAGAATTAGAGAGTGACTGGCACTTTAGGTGCAGAACTGAAGAAGAGAGAGACCGACTGGTACTCTAGGTGCAGAATGAGAAAAGAGACAGTGGGCAGTTTGGCTTTCGTGTTGTGGTTTACAGATAGGCTAAGATATGTGGGCTAAGATATATGTGAGTTGCTGTCCAGATCATTCAACTGCAGAAAACTCTAAATAAAATTAATTAGTCACCTTCTATGAAATACGTGTAAAGAGGCAGTAGGTTTGTTCTTTTTTATTCCCCCAAAATGGTACCCCAGAACCCACACTAGAATATATTTCTTGGTCACGTACCACAGATTTGGGTTTTATGTTGGCTAGCTGCTCATTATGCTGTGCTTCCAGCTCCGCTTCAAGTTTTGCAATCTCATCTGCCACCTCTTTCTTTTTCTTCTTGTCGCCTTTGGTGACACTGTGCTTCAGCTTTAATATTTTGGCTGAAAAGACAGACAACAGTTTTTTTTTTAAATTTACTTTGATTAATAACTTTCTTCTTCTTCTTCTATGCATTCAGTTTTGAATGCTCTGGTCTCAAAACCAGGTGGGTTGCCTCTATGAACTCACATGTCAGCTGCAGGTCCTCCATGGTTCTGGATAGCTTCCTCTGCACACTTTGCTCTTGAAGCCAGGTTTCTTTTTGAAGTTGTAGGTAGAGTGGGCAGGTCTGCAGAATGTGCTCAGGTGTTTGTGGTCCCATCTGACATGCACACTTGAGGGACTGTAGTCTTTATTTTATGCATGTGGTAGTTGAGCCTGTAGTGTTCTGTTCTTTGAAGAAAATCTTTTGAGTCTGCTGATGGGGTCTGGTGGATGTTCACTGTTTGTTCTCTCCAGAATTTCTTGTATTTTCTTTTGATAAGTGTTTTGATTTCTGGTAAAGACAATGAATGGGTGTATTGTTTCTCCTTTGTACACATTTTTTGCAAGTCTGTCCACTAACTCATTAATCTGTACTGCAGTGGATACCACCAGGTCACTGTGGCTTGGTAGGCAAAGAAATAGCGGACAGATTGACCAGAAGTGGCAGTGACATGGTACAACCAAACAGTGACTTAACCCACCAAGAGACAAAAACATTAATACAATCTGGTATCCAAGAAAGGTGGCTGGATACACACCAGATTTTTTCCCCAAGACGCGCTTCATCGCCGCTCTAGAGAGGGACAGTGAATTATATTCAGACTAAGGACTGGGCACAACAGACTCCGTCAACATATGTTCAAATTTTTCGGTTTAGGAAACACAGAGACGTGTCCCTGCAGCGTGCACACGAAAATGCTGAGCATTTGCTCCAACACTGTCAACTGTATGCTGACAATAGAGACGCAATTGACCTGTTCCAACCAGAATGAAGACAAAGCTGTATGGTACACGAGAGGATATGGACTGCACGATAGCTTTCATAAAGGCTACTGGCCTCCTGATATGTTTTCTGACAGAAGGATCGAAGAGAAAGAAGATTAATGATTTTGAAAACAAATGTGTTTATAATTAACATTTTAACACTGTTGACTTTGAATGAAAAAAACAAAACAAAAACAAGAAATTACGATTCACCTATCTATTCTTCTTTTTCAGTAAGGGGCATTTTCATTTGATTTTCACTGGCACAGGAACGAAGCAAGTATGGGTTGACCCGATCACAGTGAAAGTTGAAACCTAGACTAAGACTTCATCAAATGATGATGATGTGCTTTTCTGGGAAAAGGGGGGGGGGGATCTTAACATTTAACCAGCATCTTTGAAGGAGGAGCTTCAGGTTATAGTTGTGACTAGGTTATGTGCGCCATATAAATTGTCTTAGTACTGCTTGCCACCAAGAGCCATGAAAAGGACCCCTGCAGTGTTGATGCGATCAAGAGAGACACAAATATTGTCCTGACGGGTAAAGACATGATCTACAGGCGAGCTAATGGGGCGAACCAGGTGCCAATGCACTTTATCAAAGCCGTAGGGGGGGGGGGGGAGGGGAGGGGGTGTGTAAGGATCTTCTGTGTGCTCTTTCCAGTTTGATTCGTGACTTTTTCCGCTCGTTGTTTTGAGTGCGGCCAAGGGAGAGAACTCCCACTAAGCCGACCGAAGCCCGAAGCCGTCCCGCTTGCGTCCAAATGTGCTAGGAGAGCCCTATTTATCATTAGTTAAAGTCCACGTGTGAGCTTTTCATTATTACTGAACTATTTACTCTACATAAATAAAATAAATGTTTCTAACTATGCACTGCTAATACATAATTACAATTATAATTATACATTCATCATGCAACCAACTGATTGTGTTCGCGGTTTTGGTTTTACTAAAACTATTTCAAATTTGCGACTTAGTCACAAATGGCGCACATTTAATAAGCAAATACGACCGTATCATCTAGAAATTAGTTCACTAATTAAAACCAACCTTGTAACTCCTTCTTTTCCCGTTTATGTCTGGTAATGACATCTTCCTCGCATTCACTGTCTAATTGTACTCCGTTACAACCATCAACATCGCCGTGCGCCGCCATGTTTGACCCGGAATCATAATATTGACTTCTTCTTGTACAGAAGTTAAAAATTTTAGGCGGAAATTACGGTCAGGAATTGCAATGTACGCCCAAAATCAAAGTACATAAAATGCCGTCACCATGATAAATGTTGGCTAAAGAAACTAAAGCACCCCATGTCTCTTATCTTAGTTTTACACTTTTAGGCTGCTGTTTGACCATTTGTTATGTTGTCTTCCCACTTCTGTCGTTGTCTACCATTTGCCTTAAGCTAGTCCTTCTGGTATTCTCTTTTTAAAATGATATTTTTCCTTTTTATGTGGCCGAAATATTTTACTAGTCTGTCTCTCTCTCTCTGTCTCTCTCTCCTTTTTAATGTATAGTCTTATCAGAACCTCTATATGTTTTGTGAGGCAATTACAGTTTCGAGTAATAAAAGTGAACCTAATATATATATATATATATATATATATATATATATATATATATATATATATATATATATATAGTCACAAACTTTCAATATCAGAGCTACATAATAATCAGCAATGAAAATTGTTCAACAGAACAGCAAAGGCTAAACATAATTTCCAGTCTATGACTAAGCACCAACAAGGAAATCAAAGTCAACATTTTGAGAGCAGGCATATGCCCTGTAGCAAACACGGAATGTGAAGTCGTGGACTATCTCGCAGTCATTAAGGAAGAAGTTAGAACATTAATTTGTCATCCCAGATTGTGATAGTATGACGCTGATTAATTCTGCAGCTCGTGTGGCTTGACATCTTTTTATGGTAATCACTTAAAGTAAAAGTAAAGGTCCCCTTTTCACGCCTATAAGGCGTATTGAAAATATAGAGCTAGACCTATATTTTTATAGGATAAGCGGCAAGTGGTGGGTGATGTGGTCAGCATCACGCTGGCCGCCTTTACTTCCAAGGACTGCACCTGGTACCCACTCAAGGCTGGGTCGACCTAGGAGTCAAGGAAATTTTTGAAGAAGAAAAAAGTCCGGCTCCATCAAGACGCGAACCCACGACCTTCCGATTCTCAGGCGGGCGCCTAGCCGGTAGTCACTAAAGAAGGAAATAAATGTTGAATTAAGAATCGACATCACAGCACTCGGAACAGGATTAATATTTCAGCCTCGGACATCCAGGAGCGGCCTCTTTTGAGACGCATTTCTTTTATATAATTTATAGCTATGTGCAATTTGTGGTTATGTTAACGTCTGCAGATACTCCCATGCACACCATGACCTGTGCAACTATGTATCTGGTACCTCTCGACTTTAAGACCAGGACATATCGTATGGCAGGAGGTGCCTTTTCTGCAGCCGAGTATGAGTCTCATAGCCTTATTTTGTACTCGGTCCAGTATTTCTACCACTGCAGATAGTGAGGTGGTCTAGTCCACAGGCGACTCTAGTTAACTAAAGACGGCCTTGTCTAGACTATAGTCTATGACGCTCAACACACGCCCCGGTGATTTCTGAATATCCATGGTCTTCCCCAAACAGGGAAAATCCACAGGTCACCGGACGGTCTAATATTTCAGGGGTTTGTAGATAGACTGCATGCAGTTGTGGGACCTAGGCTGTTTGGTGTCGTGAACCTAGGCTGGACTCTCTCGTAGGACGTAGGTGGGTTGGGGTTAGGGCCAGTTCTATATGTTAAGAATTGTTAAAAGCATTAAAAAACCGGGAAAAACAGTCTTGCCACCATCTTAAATATTATACTGTCATGTGACGTCATCTGGGGTAAAATATTACGAAAGAACCGAAGCCCCTGACAGAGGGGAAAAAGTAGGTTTATTCCATATAGGCTGCTGCCAATGTCTAGAGTGTTTTCAGACATTGCCGGGCTCTAAGTATAGTGTCTATGTAATACCTTTTTAAAGAGCATCTGTCAAAGGTCATGCCTAGGTGTCCGTTATTTCGTTGGCAGTTCCACACATGCTTAGGACTGGTGAAAGAAAGTGCCGGTAAGCGGTACTGTGTATCGCTGCGTACTCACATACCACGGCCAGCTCCAGATTTTTATATGTAAATCTGGAGCTGGCCGTGCCACATACATAGTAAAACCCTGTTAGGAAAGAAGGAAAAAACTTGTAAATGAAAAATTTTCATGGGGGAAAATTGACTTGACACCCAGACAGCGCATCCCCCTGAATCATTTTCATCTTCAAAACAAACCACGAACAGTGACTGGGAGTTTCTGTGTTGTCGCACATTAACTTTTCAAGAGTCTTTGTGTAGATATTGAAGTTACTGCTGTTGCTCAGTAAACAGTAAACAGAAGAACATTTTTAACATGGTATGTATGCCTAGAAGTCGGGGTAGCGATCAATCTATAAAATAAAATTTACACTCGCATGCAGCAGTACAGTGGATAGTGATTGTGTAGAGCGAGCGTAGTCGGTAGTCCTTAAACTCCCAGCAGTCGATACCGACTTGGTCTCATCCTCCATGCTTCTCCCTTTATCGCGGCTTTGAATTTCACCCAGTCTTAAAAAAACGAGAAACGTAATTTTCTGTAAACTCCTCTAAATCGAAAATACGATATAGAAGGGGATGCTTACTGTCCCACCGTGACTCATCGTATCTCATGCTGTAAACTAAACAGGTAAATGTATTCCCCATAGCATATTCAGGATGTTAAGATATGAAGTATTACTGTGTAGCAAATGGCACATATTTCAGGTCATGCCATATGAAGTTTGTTGGCTAGTTCCCTTCTACAGGTTCTGTGTAATTCATTGCCAGCAGACTTCATCCCAATGGCCGCAGCAGATGCTCAGAAGCAGTATTAAACATGATGGCTCTCCTTTCAACTACGGCCGGTAGACAACAGTAGACGGCCGGTTAGTCGGAGTTCTGTCCCCTGGCTGCAGTGCAATTACAGACTGGAGAAGGCACGAATCAAAAAACAAAGTGAGGTCGACATGCCTGGCAGAACCCGCGCTGCGACTCAAATTAGCGACCATGCTCAATTACCGCTTCTTGCGACGCATTACGGAGTGGATTAGAGGGAAGGAAACAAGTGACATAATTACTGTGTGTTGGCGATACACAGCGTGCAGTGCCCTACTGTCATCATACGGTTAGGGTTTGGTTTAGGGTTAGGGTTTGGGTTGCTACGTTGAGTTTCTGCGAAGACGAGATACGGTGACACTAACCGTAACGCTAACCCTAAACCCTTCCCCCAACCCTAACCCTAACCGTATGATGACAGCAGGTCACTGCACGCTGTCTATCGCCAACACACAGTAATTATGTCATTTGTTTCGTTCCCTCTTTTCCACTCCGTAATAGCACTGCAGCCAGGGGACAGAACTCCGGCCAACCGGCCGTTAACTGTTGTCTACCGGCCGTAGTTGATAGGAGAGCCAACATGATCTATCTATATATAAAAAATAAATAAGGGTGCACTCAAATTATTTCTGTTACATATCCTACATTGTCTCTGTGATGTTGACCACATTACCCACCTCTCCCGTGTGGGATCCGGGGCCCCATTGTGGGAAAAACAAGAATAGACCCACTGCCTCCCCAAAAGCATGTCGTAAGAGTCTACTAATTGGGGAGCTTCCTTTGAAGTCGGAGTGCATCTGCCGGAGAGGCAAGGAACCAACTGTCTGTATTCAAGAGAATGAGATCTGTAAAACTGATGCACATGCAACACTCAGGTTCTGGAGCAGGACTGCAGTTCAGTGTTGGACGAGCAACCAGAACTTTCCGCCAGAGTGTACAGCTGGTGAACGCAAAGAAGAAGAAGAAGATTACCCACCAAGTGCTGATCGGTCTGTAAAATAAGGTCTAGCCCTATGTGCCCAATACACTTGAAGGCATGTAAAAGGTTCCTTTACTTTACTGTCCTACATTGTCAACAGGTTAAAATATGTATTCACTTTATCATGTCTTTCTATAACTTACAGAATTATTGGAACAGACTCAGAGGTTTAACTGTGTCAGTCCCACACAGTTATTACTGCAGCTCCTTATATCACAAAAAGCTAAGCTTCAAAGCGGTAAATACTTAGTTCTGATAACAGGGACACTGTGGAACAGATGCAGTTAAACTAATAATTTAGATACTATTCTCACCGGTGCTACGGAGTTTGTGCACTGCACTGAGATTCTTCGGACTCAGGCTTGAGTCAGAAGTAGAACGGAGCACTTATATGTTACTACTCTTGTGCCATGATGTTGATCCATCGTCTAAACCTAATTTAGATACTTCATCTTGTTCACCAGCTCTAAATTCCTGCAGAAAGTTCTGGTTGCTCGTCCACCTCTAGACTTGAGTCTTGTTCCAGATCATCTGTGCACATTCATTTTACAGATTGTACATATCTGTATGCAGACTGTTGGTTCCTTGCCTTTCAGGCAGATGCACTCCAACTTCGAAGCAAGTCCCCCATTAGTTGACTCTTACGACATGCTTGTTGGAAAGGCAGTGGGTCTGTCTGTTCTTGTTTTCCCTGACAGTTGAGCCCCAGAACTCACACAGGAAATAATTCAGATGCAACCGGTTAATAAAACATCTGTGTGCAATGGAAGACAGACTTGCAAAAAATGCTATAGAAGATAAACAACACACCCTTTCATTGTTATTACCATAAAGCAAATCTCATAACAATAGAAAATACAAAGAATGGTGGAGAGAATAAACTCACAGTAAACATCCACAAGAAGGAGGATTGTACTATTTTGGGAATGACCAAGAAACTTATGCTGCCTTGTTTGGTACTGAAAGAGTTAATTGTCAACCAAATGGTTAGATATGTACTTTATTGTTGTCATTGTTATCTGACTATATTGTTTTAAATTTTAGCATGGTCGGTTGAAAGTAAAGTCAACTGCAGAACAGTTAGAAGCAAAAAAGAAGGAGAGGGAGAAGAAACTTCAGCTGTACAATGCAGCAACATCAAAAATAATTAGTAAGGTGAGTTGTTGCTATTCCTCGTTATTTATACTACTCCGAGATCTTTTTTCATTGTAAGAACCAATGCCCCATTTGTATGCCTTCTATGCCTCACAGAGCAGAAATAGGCCTACTGTTTGTAGCCCATTAGTGCTCAGTTAGTCATAATTCCAGCTTTGTTGTAACCGGACCATCCCATAATTCCTACACTCTTGTGCCCACAAAACCACATAAAATGCCTATCATTGTCCCATAGGAAATTTAAACAGTAGGTACTTTCAACAGAGTCAACAGCACATTCATTAAATGCATAAGTCAAGCCCTCGAGGTGCTAATATGTTAAGATGGGAAAGTTGGATGGCAAAAGAGACACAGAGAGACAGACAGAAAATGTTGGGCATTTTGACATTGTGGCAGAGAAAGTCATCTATGTCAGAATTGATTCATTGTGCATGAGACAGAAGGCTGTGGATAGACGTAACTACCAGTGCCACACAGCATCGAAAATTAGAAGATATGGTCCCAATCATGATGTCAAATGAAGTATAAATAACATATACGAGTTGTATCGAGGAGCAGCTGGCTGAGTGGTTAAGAATGCTATACTCTCATTCCAGATATACAGGTTCTAATCCTTAGAAAGGTGATGCACAGTTCGTGGCGCTGCCCTAGCCATGCAGCCCTAAATCCTCAGGGTCATGACCTCCCTGTCCTGTGCTGCTCTAAAACATTGGCACATACAGGCAGTAAGGGCAGTTTTTAATACTGTACTGAAGATAAAGGTTGACAGTGAAAATATATGCGGAAAGGATGACATCCTTTGTGATTTACAGGAAGTAAAGATTAGTAATTCTCTTGGGAAGCAGCTGTATGAATTTTAAACATTCACATACACATAAGTGGGTAAATTATTCATATTGTTGGTCATCCTGAGTGTTCATGACACCCACTTGTCTCGTAAACTGTCATTTAGATGCTTCTCCAGCTCACAGTGTCAGGCTGTCTGTTGCCATCTCAGCCTTCCCCTAGCTCTTGATCCCTCTAACTTTCCCACTGTTGTGATGTACTCCTGTTTACATTACCTCATGTGGTATCCCAGTGTCATGGACCTTTCTGAGCACCGCTGACAGAGTTGTTGTACAGAGCATGAGTTAAAACATAAACAGACCTCAGTGACTGTTTAAATGAGAACTGTAGGAATTGACAAGCTGTTCTTCAAGACATGGATCCTTTAATTATAATAAAGTAAAACTCAGCAGCCAGGTTGTGGTTTTTTTCTCCAGAAAAAACAAAACAATTTGGTTTTTAGAAAAACCTCCATAATGCTGTTTTTAGTAAATGTATCTTCACCTCATAATCATTTACATAGATGTGAATACAGCCTTTAACTATATGTCTCATGAACAGGTCACTATGGACAAGTCAGAAAAGTGACATTTACAGGGATTTGGCCCAGCCAGAAGTGTTAGTTTTGCAACTGAGTTAAATGTCACAAATAAAATGCAGCATGTTGATGTTTCACCTGTGCATTACAGAGACCAGTAATGGATGGATTTGAGTAGTACCATCGTAATATGACTTGTGAGGTGACCAAAGAGTGTTGGCAGGAGACCGTCAACATTACTCCATAAAAAACTGCAGCTGCATAATGCAGCCAATCATGAAGAAGCCTCCATAAGTTAGTTTAGTGCCTATGCCTCATTGGAGATGAAAGACAGAAGAAGAGAGAATTTTGATGTTTTTTTCTGTTGTTCATATTACAGAAAAAGAATGGAGAACTGGACGAGGAGCTGCTACTGGTGTCTGCTGAAGTCCTGGCGGTCAACCCAGACTTTTATACTTTGTGGAATTATAGGAAGGAGACATTTTTGGAACTACAGAAAACCAAGTAAGTTGTTTGAGCCAGAGTTACGCAGTCTGTACTCCACAGGTCTCACCTGGCCTGCTTTTGTTTTTAGTTTGTCATCATCAAATGCTGTGCTGGGTGATCATGCCTCTGCATAGTCTGTGATCTTCAACAGCATGTATTACTTTGAGTGCAGACACCCCTCGATGTCATGACACAAGGCTGTCAAGAATTGTCTGGCATTGTCTTCCTCTTGTCTGTTTTTCTACAGATCTTTCCAGTGGTCACAGCATGTTCTAGTTTTTGCCTCCTCATAACATGACTACGAAATGATGATGGTCTCATTCTGATGTTTTTGATATGTTGTCCTGAAGCCCTCGCCTCTTTCAGAACATCATGGTGGCTCTTTTTGGCTATCTGAGGAATTCTACCTGTTTAGTTATTCAGGTTTTTAAGTCTAAAAATCCCATGTGGCCTGCTGCAAAGTTGTTGAATCTGTAGCCCTCAAGTTCCATTTTGCTTGCTTCAGAGCTACCCACGTGCAGCAGCAACAGATATGGAAGACATGAAGTGAGTGGGCCACATATAATAGCAAAAGCTAGAACATTCTGGTTGAAGCTGGTTGAGGCCCTTTGCTTCATTGAAGGATAAACAGCGGCAGAAGAGGGTAATTATTTTGTTGTTGTTTGCGTTCACTGGCTGTAAACCCCAGCAGAAGGATGAGGTTGTTCAATTATTTATGGAATTTAGCTTTGTTCCAGGACCTGAGTTGTGAGTGTGCATCAATTTTACAGATCTTGCTTATTTGTATGCAGACTGTTGGTTCTTAGCATCTCAGGCAGATGCACTCCAACTTTGAAGAAAGCTCCCAAATTAGAAGACTCACAACATGCTTGTTAGGGAGCAGTGAGTCTATTCTTGTTTGTCCTACAATGAGATCCCATAACCCACATGGGAAAGAAAATAATGTAATATTTACCATCAGGGCCATATTTAGGATGTATGACGCCCGTGTGCAGTAATTTTTTTATACCCCTCTTTCCTCAGCTAAACTTCAGCATCGCTATTGCCACACTGTTTTAATGCCAGAAACTGTTCTAATGCGGGTTTCATAATGAAAAAAATGTTGCAGCCCTGTGCAGCTGCTCATGTTGTACATGACTAAATACGGCTTCCATTTTCATCATCCCGTTACACTGTGTGTCGTTGGGTCACCAGTTTCTGTTGATTGTCTGATCAGCTCTCTCCACATTTGGCGGTCAGTTGCGATGGACTTCATGGCTGCATGCCTGTCCAGTCAGTCAGATTCTGTAACCAGGTCTTTCTTGGTCTGCCTCTTCTCCTCTTTCCCTCTACTGAGCTCTGCAGTATTGTTTTAAAGAGGCTGTTATATCTTATTACATGTCCATACCATTGTCCATTGCCATACTGTCCTGATTTTCCAGATCCAAAGAAGAGCTGCAGAAGATGTTTCTGTCAGAGCTGATCTTCCTGGAGTCTTGTTTGAGAGTCAACCACAAATCTTATGGCACCTGGCACCATCGATGCTTTGTCATGGACACAATGCCAGAACCTGACTGGAACAGGGAACTTGAACTGTGCAATGATTTCCTGAAATATGACGAGAGAAACTGTAAGTCATAGATTTGTACCAGTCTCTTATTAACAAAAGAAGAGAATAATCATATCGATCAGAAAGCCACCAAAACAAGCACAAGACGATTACCATATTATGGACAGACCAGAGCAAGTTATTATTCTACGCCTTAGAACATGACACAGTCAACTTCGCAGCCACATGTACACACAATTTTAAATCAGCGAATTAGAGATTGGCACATGTGGATTGGCACCTGGGACAACAGATCATGTCCTCCAAGACTATCCCAAACACAACATATAAAGGCAAAACGTTTGGCCAAGAAAAATGTCGGTGCAAGTCAAACTTTGCGGGTCACTAAGTAAATTACAAAAGACAATGTAGTTTATACTAGAGACAACATTGCAGATATAGATAATTTATTTTAAGGGAACGAAAGAAGAAGAATAGATTTGTGGATGTGGAGGTTTTGAACTCACACTTATAGTCAAAGATGAAGTTATAGTCAGAAGGATGGGCTTGGTCTGTTTCTGCAGATTGGTTAGTCCTCTGCTAAGACCTTTGCAGAAAACCACAAATTCTGTAGCTGTAGTGCAGGTATTTTGTTAAAAATGTTTTTTGAACTGAACGACTGTCTGTGATGCGAACCCATGACCTTTAGAACATGAGCCATATGGCTTGACCACTGGACACTAAATGTACAGTTAAAGTTGCTGCAGAGCTAATATAATCCTAATTTGTGGAAGTGAAACTTGAACAATCAATTGATTAGTAACAAGTTATGGAGTAGCCGCTGAGATGTGATGTTATTTAAGAATGGTTAACAGACAAGTTTGATTAAATTAAAACTCAAGATAGTTCATCTCCAACCAGATCCTCTCATCTTTTCAGTGAATAAATTTGTGTGAATCTACTTTATTCTATCATTTTGTTTTTACAGGACGTTGGAGAACCAACCCCAGCATTATTTGGCTGTTGTGGTTTTTCTAAGCAAATTTACGTCCTGTAGTTTGCCATTGCTTTCTGGGAAGTCAGCTTTCGATATCACTGTCGAAACCAACGCAAGGCCCGCAGCTGGGATCGAACCCTGCACTACAAAGCCTGTTTGAAATGCCTAAGCCACAGACGCTGACCTTCTTCAGTAACCAATGAAGAAAAGACAAGCTAGTAGTACCAGTTGCAATCTGATTAAAAGGCCGCCTATATTTCCCTCTCAGGGTTGAATGTCTTCCATAAGCTCTACTCAACCCCCATTGAATTTTTCTTTCAGTGTATGGATTCTCTTTTCTACTGCACTGTCCATTTGATCCCAAAGGGTCTTCACCATGCCAACTTTATCCTAAAGTAGCTCACCACTCATAGGAGCGGCAGCAGCTGATCTATCAGTCAGCTTGTTACCTCAGATATCTGAATGTCCTGACTGAAAATCCATATTTCAATAAAAATAATAAGGAAACGGTGGCCATTCCCACCCTGGAATCTACCAGTGCCAGACATGGTCACTCACAACAAAACATAGAAAAAGATTAGTAATCAAGGAAATGAGGTGTCTGAGAAAGGCTTTAGGAGTGACCAGAAGAGATCATATCAAGAATGGGGTCATAGGAGATAAAGTTGGTACAGAAACAATTCCAAATTAAATTCAAAGACAGCAAATCAGATGGTTTGCCCACTGGGAGAGAATGTCTTCTGATGCTATACAATACAAGGCATATACCAACAGAGGAGAGGACGTAGAGCAAGAGGTAGATCAAGAACAAGATGGAAAGATAACATCAGAGAAACTCTACAGCACCACGATGTGTCTATGGTCGAAGCAGCCAGAAGAGCATGAAGAACGACCTTAAATCTCCCTTGACACCCAGAGTGGTACAAGAGGAAGTAAAGAAGAAGAACAGTGCCATGGTAAAAGTCAGTATCTTTATTGTCAAACGAAAACTCAACATCTCAGGTCTACAGGCACATCAAAATTATTGTTGTTGCAGTTCAGTTAAGATCATTGTGGTTGTCATTCATCTAACATCATTGTGGTTGTCGTTCATTTAACATCATTGTTGTTGCAGTTCATCTAACATCATTGTGGTTGCCGTTCATCTAACATCATTGTTGTTGCAGTTCAGTTAAGATCATTGTGGTTGTCGTTCATCTAACATCATTGTTGTTGCAGTTCAGTTAAGATCATTGTGGTTGCCGTTCATTTAACATCATTGTTGTTGTAGTTCATTTAACATCATTGTTGTTGTAGTTCATTTAACATCATTGTTGTTGCAGTTCAGTTAAGATCATTGTGGTTGTCGTTCATTTAACATCATTGTTGTTGCAGTTCAGTTAAGATCATTGTGGTTGTCGTTCATTTAACATCATTGTTGTTGCAGTTCAGTTAAGATCATTGTGGTTGTCGTTCATTTAACATCATTGTTGTTGCAGTTCAGTTAAGATCATTGTGGTTGTCGTTCATTTAACATCATTGTTGTTGCAGTTCAGTTAAGATCATTGTGGTTGCCGTTCATTTAACATCAGCGTCTTTGCAGTTCATTTAACATCATTGTTGTTGTAGTTCATTTAACATCATTGTTGTTGCAGTTCAGTTAAGATCATTGTGGTTGTCGTTCATTTAACATCATTGTTGTTGCAGTTCAGTTAAGATCATTGTGGTTGTCGTTCATTTAACATCATTGTTGTTGCAGTTCAGTTAAGATCATTGTGGTTGTCGTTCATTTAACATCATTGTTGTTGCAGTTCAGTTAAGATCATTGTGGTTGTCGTTCATTTAACATCATTGTTGTTGCAGTTCAGTTAAGATCATTGTGGTTGCCGTTCATTTAACATCAGCGTCTTTGCAGTTCATTTAACATTGTCATTGCAGTTCATCTAACATCATTGTTGTTGCCGTTCATTAACATCATTGTTGTTGCAGTTCAGTTAAGATCATTGTGGTTGCCGTTCATCTAACATCATTGTTGTTGCAGTTCAGTTAAGATCATTGTGGTTGTCGTTCATCTAACATCATTGTTGTTGCAGTTCAGTTAAGATCATTGTGGTTGCCGTTCATTTAACATCAGCATCTTTGCAGTTCATTTAACATTGTCATTGCAGTTCATTTAACATCATTGTTGTTGCAGTTTATTTAACATCATTGTCGTTGCCGCTCATCTAACATCATTGTTGTTGCAGTTCATTTAACATCATTGTCATTACAGTTCATCTAACATCATTGTTATTGCACTTCATTTAATATCATTGTCATTGCAGTTCATCTAACATCATTGTTGTTGCAGTTCATTTAACATCATTGTCATTACAGTTCATCTAACATCATTGTTATTGCACTTCATTTAATATCATTGTCATTGCAGTTCATCTAACATCATTGTTGTTGCAGTTCATTTAACATCATTGTCATTACAGTTCATCTAACATCATTGTTATTGCACTTCATTTAATATCATTGTCATTGCAGTTCATCTAACATCATTGTTGTTGCAGTTTATTTAATATCATTGTCGTTGCAGTTCATCTGACATCATTGTTATTGCACTTCATTTAACATCATTGTCATTGCAGTTCATCTAACATCATTGTTGTTGCAGTTTATTTAATATCATTGTCGTTGCAGTTCATCTGACATCATTGTTATTGCACTTCATTTAACATCATTGTCATTGCAGTTCATCTAACATCATTGTTGTTGCAGTTCATTTAATATCATTGTCGTTGCAGTTCATCTGACATCATTGTTATTGCACTTCATTTAACATCATTGTCGTTGCAGTTCATCTGACATCATTGTTATTGCACTTCATTTAACATCATTGTCATTGCAGTTCATCTAACATCATTGTCATTGCAGTTACGTCATTGTCGTTGCAGTTCATTGCTGGGACTACAGAAGATTTGTTGTGAAAAGAGCCAATGTTCCCCCGGAAGCAGAGCTGAAGTTTTCTTTGAGCAAAATCAACAACAATTTCTCCAACTACTCATCCTGGCACTATCGAAGCAAGTTACTGCCCGTGCTTTACCCAGATCCAAAGCAGCCAATGGGTGTCAGTGAAGAGGCCTTGTTGAAAGGTGATTTCCCCTTTTTTTTGGGTCAGATATATTAACATTAGGATATGTATGCATCTTAAATTCATTTTTCCATTATCATTTTACACTCATGAAGGACCTGCTACTGATACGCGAGTTCATAGAGGCAACCCGCCTTATGGTCTGATCTGAGCATACGCAACCAAACGCAAAGACGAAGATTTTACACTCAGCAGCTTTGCAAGCTCATGTGGTTCCAGGTGCTGAAAAGTTCCTGTCACCCCCCCCCCCCCCCCCCCCCCCCTTTCTCCCCCCACTCCTTTTCCATACATAATTTTGTATTTATAGAATACAAATTTTTATCATTTTATGACACCCAGGGTGGCCTACACCCTCTTCCCACGCCACTGCTTACACTAATATCCGTCTGATTTTAGTTTAATACATAAATGATTAAAAAGAAATATTAAACTTAAGTACATATATATCTGTGTATGTATGTATGTATGTATTTATATATATGTGCCCGGCTATATAGCTTAGTTGGCTTAACCGGATTGCGCAGTGACCGGGTGACGAACTCCATGTTGTCCGGGTTCACTCCCGGGGGTAGGCAGAAAAGCCACATTTCTCCCAGATTTACGTTATTTACAATGGAATCAAGGTCAAAAGTTTGCGATATCCATAATACCGAGCCTAAGGGTTAACAACTCATGGCTTCTAGATACTAAAACAAACAATATATATATATATATATATATATATATATATATATATATATATATATATATATATATATATATATATATATATATATATATATATATATATATATATATTTTTATATATACACATATGTGTGTGTGTATATGTATGTATGTGTGTGTGTGTATATGTATGTATGTGTGTGTGTGTATATATATATATATATATATATATATATATATATATATATATATATATATATGTGTGTGTGTGTGTGTATCTGATGTGTATATATATATACATATATGTATATGTACATATACATACATATGTATATGTACTTACAGTTTAATATTTCTTTTTAATTATTTGTATGATATAAAACAGTTGTTTAACAATTATCTTCATAGAGTGAGCCTGTTACCACTTTATTTATCTGACTAGTCCTGGACTGTTTGTTTCTCTTTTATATAATGCACAAACAACTTGGTATTTTATTTATTTCCAGAGTATGAACTTGTCCAGAATGGATTTTTCACCGACCCAGACGATCAGAGCAACTGGTTTTACCATCGCTGGTTAATGGGACGAGGTAGCACGGCTTATTTTATCATTCATTGTGGCCTAACAGTTTCATGATTCTCAAATACTAGTGAAAAATGTTTTTGGTAGAAGGTGAATTTTTTTTAAAAACTGTTATGGTGGGTTTTTGGACATTTGTGCAAGAATTGCACTGTGAAACATAACGGGGCTAAAAACAAAAACAAAAAGCAGCAGACTGGCAGCTATAGAGATTACTTGTGGAGGCCTTATGTGTAAACATTGATATGAAGAGGGCATAGAGATAAATATATAAATAATCTAGTTTCTTGTTTTTGAAGACATGTTTATTTATAAGAAAGCTGAACAGAAGTAGACTATGAGGCAGACCAAGAAGATTGTGAAGAGATAATTTACAAGCAGATCTACTTACACTTTGTTACCAGCTGGAAAGAGAAAGTCAATCAGAGATATGAATGGAGACTGGCGATATCTTCAGCAGCGAACCTTGAGGGCTGGCAGTGCTGAAGATAAAGATGTTTATTTGTATTGTGTTTTTTTTTTAATTTTATTTTTTAATCATGAGTGTATACTCATCTGTTTCAATCAGGAGAGCAAGTACAGGGAGTGAACTGTTTTATTGTATCAAGACTGGACAACAGTGCTATTGTTTCTTTCACAAAACATATCAAGGTTTGAACTTTTTTCTTTTTAACCTTAACATGAATGTGACAGTTTTTCATTATTTTAATATATATTTTTCTGATGTATTACTTTAAAAATGGCGTTACCATATTTTTTCTGTGTATAAGACTATGTGTTTTCCCAATTTTTTTTTGTCAGTTAAAAATGAATATTTTCAAAATATTTATTTCTTAATTTTGGGTTAAAGATACATGGGGCAGTTCTGTACATGGGAAGATATGGTAATGTCTTCTTTTTCTGCTTCTTCTTCTTCTTCTTGTGTGGCGTCTTCATCTTTTGTGTTTCATCATTTAACCAAGCAGAAGTCTAAATGAACTCATCCCTTGACCTTTGTAGACTTGTTTATGGTTGGTTAGGTTGAGCAACTACAGTTGTCTTCAGGCTAAGGTGTCTAGCCTCACACGAGCTCTCCGCTAGTTGCTGTCTCTTACCTAGATTACACTGTTACCATTCTTCACTTCCTGTGTAGGCTCTAGCTATGCAGTTTTTTTTTTTTCTTTCTAATTTTCTCTAAGATTGCATATGAAACTTCAGAGCCCAGGACTTCACTGTTTAGATGTTAGTGCTCCCCGTGTGGGTTGGGCTCCATTTTGGAGAAGAAAGAAAAGACGCACTTTCTCCCCTAATTAGTTTGTCACAGAAAGCGAGTAATTGAGGGTGTTCCTGCAAGTCGGCGTGCATCTGCCTGAGAGGCAAAGAATCTTCAGTCTGCATACAGATAAGCAAGATCTAGAAAATGGATGTGACTGCAAAACTCAAGTTTTTGAACAACGCTTCCTCTCAGGAGGTGTCCGAAATATTGCCATCTTCTTTCTCTTATAACCCTTGTTACCAGCGGTAGCCCAGACATTTCTCTTATTTCTTCTCTCCTCTTGAATTGATCTCAATTTATGTTCAACATTTTCCTCAGGCATTTTTTTTTTTTTTTATAAATGCATTTAACTTTTGTTTCATGTCTTTAGTGTTTCTCCAACTTTTACTGGCATATGTTAAGACTAAAAATAACATTATAATTGAAAAATATGCAACTTGGTCATAAAATTATATAATTTTAGAGTTCCCTATTTTGTTCAAGCTATTAAAAGCTGCTGATGCCTTGCCAGTGCTTGTCATAATTTCATTATTTGTATTTCATTGACTGTCAGAATTACAACCATAATAAGTAAGTTGATCTGTTCCTGAAATCCTCACCATTCTGTCTTGGATTAAGTTACTTTTATTTTCATTTGTAGGTTGGCAAAGCTACAGATATCGTACTTGAGATCAACAATACCCGACAAGAACATCTAACCTGGCACAATCCAGACAGAAGTTCCCTGTTCTCCACTATGTGGATATCCTTTGATGGTTATTTGATGTGGATTGGTTTCTTCTTCATGTTCACTGGCTGTAAACTTTTGAGAAAGCTCTGGTTGTTCATTCACTCCTGGACTTTAGTCTTGTTCCAGAACTTGACTTTTGCATGCACATGCGTGTCATATCTGTGCAGACTGTTAGTTTCTTTGTCTCTCAGGCAGACGCACTCTGACATTGAAGAAAACACCCATTATTAGTTTAATTTTATGACTTTTGTAAAAATAAAAAAAGGCGGGGGTGTTGATTCCCCCCTCCCCCCATTTTTATTCACATTTTCTCCCTTACATGATTTAATTTTTCTCACTCTATTATTAAATCTCTGTTTTAGTGTAGATCAGAAACGCCCAGAATTGTTCATCTGTTTTCACTCTTAAAAGGGTGATAGCAACTTTCCGATGGCTTGAGTTGAGCTGAGAATTGTTATCACAGCACTCGGGGCATTCCCATGATGGTACTGGTCAAAATCTGGCAATATGTCCATCTTGCCTTTCCTCTGGGTCTAGTGAGCCGGCCAGACCCTCTGGTTACACACATGTGCCTCATTCTCTCCAGGCCATAATAATCTCTACTGATTCCTTTGCTTGTTTCCAAAGGGCCTTGACCACATCTGCCTTGTCTTGTATCAATTCACCACCCAGTGGTGCAGATCCAGCCAATCTGTCTGCCTGTTCATTACCCACTATGACGGCATGACCTGGAGAAAATTGCTTAAGAGCAGCCAAGCCCAACTCGTGGTCATTGTAATGGACTCACAGAGCATCCTACACGTAGATTGACTTGCATCACTTCATAAGATTCTGGTCAGGAGCATAGCATGGATTTTCTATTCAGGATATTCGGGTGTGCGGGATAATGAGCAAGCTGATAGATTGGCTGCTGTCGCTGCTCATGATGGTGAGCTACGTTTTGATAAAGTGAGTATGGTGAAGGCCCTCTAGAATCAAGTGGACAGTGCAACAGAACAGACTAATTCATCGAGGGGTGAGCAGGGGTTGGGAAGATTTTCAACGGGCAAGGGGGGAACGGACATACTTTAAAAAAAAAATAAGGTTGTAGCAGGTACTGTTAGCATATCGTTGGCTACTGAAGAAGGAGACAGAGCCCATATAGGAATGTCCAGAGTGCAGGAAGGTTATTTCTTGATTCATTCAGGGTAGATGGCACTTTGTGTTTTGGTTTACAGCTATCTGCATCTTTCAGCCTAATATTTCTTTTTGCAGCAAATTCTCAATTTAGTCGCCTTTTACAACATGCTTCTCCAGTGACATGTGTCTATTACCCCCGCCTTTCACCCAAAAAGGGGCCCTGGAACCCACATGGGGAAAACATGGAAAAGGTCTAAAATCATTACTGTTAAGCTACAAATATTTAGAAAAAATTAATTGGTTTGGTTTAATTTCTAATGTGGAGCATAGAGAGTGAAGCGGGCAAATGCCAAAAAACATTCTAATTGTTCACAATTATCAGATCAAGTGTTGCATTTAGAAAAATGTATATCCAGTGTTTGGGTGACATGCCAACAGGCTTTGAAAGATTAACATCCAGTGACGCAGAGATTATTCAGGTGAGAATCCAAAAGAAACGGATCCCAGAAACCCTATTCATCTCTATAATAGTTGAATTAGGGCACCAGACAGTTAAGCTTTAACCTGCAGTCCATTGTGTGTATAGGTTGGTTAGTGTTTTAAAAAAATTAAGATATGCACTTTTTCTACTTTTATTTTTCTTCTTCTTTGCATTGCCAGCTGTAAACCCCGGCAGAAAAGTTCTGGTTGTTAGTCCACTTCTGGGATCTAGTCCTGGTCCAGAAACTGAGTGTTGCTTGTCCATCCGTTTCACAGGTCTGATCTGTATGCAGACTGTTGGTTCCTTGCCTCTCAGACAGCTGCACTCTGACTTCAAAGGAAGCTCCTGATTAGTCGACTCTTATGACATGCTTTTGGGCAGGCAGTGGGTCTATTCTGGTTTTCCCCCCAGTAGGGCCCCGAAACCCACACAGGGAATATCTTTTTTTTTTTATTTTGAAAAAAATGTTTTCCTCTCAAGAGATTTGTACTTTGTATATGTAAGATTAACTTCTCAAGGATGAGAATCAAACCGGTGCAAATCCTGTAGACCCTGTTCAACCTTGTCCTTTCTCATTACTAAATAGTTAACTGCCTCTGTGTTGTGTAACCATTTTTTCATGTTAAACTATGCCTGTTGATTACGTTTTGAAATATTTTTATTTTCAGATATTATTATATAATTATATTGTTTTCAGCCTAGCTTAAAAAGTTATGACCTAAAATATGTAAAGCATGTAACTTTTTAACCCCATACATCTTACGTGGGACAAATATTACTTTTTTCGTTAAGTTTCTCCCTTAACATAAATTACATAACGAATGACCTCTGTCTGCCAAAGAATGAAGAATGCAGCATCAGGGCAACTCTGATAGAAAACGACGCAGCTATTTGCAGTTCTTGCCTACATCTTGACGTCAGTGATGATAGCAAGAGTGTCACATCCTCAAGACCAAGTGGTTCAAGTCAGTTCAGGTATTCTCATGTAGGAGGTGTAGTTTGCACTTTCCGTCTTTCAAAACTGTAGTGTTATATTGTGCTATAGCCAGGAAGGTTAATGCAGGCAACAAATATGCCCACAGGAAGTCAAATATGTCAGCCGAAAGGCACAACAAATTTCGCAGCCATGTTGTAAAAGGGCACCAGGTATTGACTTCTTCTGATGAGTTAATAGTAAAGGCAACATATAAAGACTTGAAATGTCGAGTTCTTCATGAGGGAAAGCTAACAGATGCATTTGAAATAAAAAACAGATGTGCGACAGGGATGTCTTTTGTCGCCTCTCTTATTTTTACTGGCTATAGACTGGACTATGAAAACAATAACTGCTAACACCAAGAATGGAATTCGGTGGACCCCTACAAAACAGCTTGATGATCTGGACTTCACTGATGATATTGCTCTTCTGTCCAATTCACGGATGCAAGATCAATTAAATATACTTGATGCGAGATCACAGCAGCTTGGTCTGAAAATCCATAAAGGAAAGACAAAGATAATGAGAATAAATCAGGCAAATAGTAATGTGATTTCTCTTAATGGCACCCCACTCCAAGACGTGGAGTCGTACACCTATTTGGGCAGTAATGTAGATATAGATGGAGGAACTGATAGAGATATTAAAATAAGAATACAAAAGGCAAGAGGGGCTTTCATAGCACTAGGGAATTTGGGGAGGTCAAAAATAAATTAAAAGAAATACTAAACTAAAAATTTTCAATTCTAATGTCAAATCAGTACTATTGTATGGGGCGGAAACATGGAGAACAACCAAGGCAATTACTAATAAATTACAGACATTCATTAACTGGTGCCTGCGCAGAATAGAGGGAATAAAATGGTATGATAGAATAACTAATGTAGAACTTTGGGAGAGAACTAAACAGGCTCCAGTGGACCAAGAGGTGAGGAAAAGACGCTGGCGTTGGAAAGGGCACACACTGAGAAAACAGGAGAACTGCATAACTAGAATGTCTTTGCATTGGAACCCACAGGGTCATAGGAATAAAGGAAGGCCAAAAAATACATGGAGAAGAGAGCTGGAGAATGAGGTTAAAAAGATTGGGAGGACATGCAATGGCGAAGGATAGAAGGACTTGGCGTGAATTGGTTGAGGGCCTATGCTCCATTGGGGGATAGAAAGGCAGAAGAAGAAGAAGATGAGTTAATTCAAAAACTGACATCACAGCACTCTGGGCATTCACATAATCTCTCTGTCCCTATATTCAGCAGCCATCACAGAGTTTCAGTACCGGTGGTGCTAGTAGCAGTCTGATTATATGTCCGCTTCAGATAAACATAGAAGAAGAAGAATATTATGCTATAAGAAATACAGTACATGGTAACGGTGGGTATGAACAGCAAGGCCAGCTCGTATTGAGAAAAATCCTCTGTCTACCACAATTAGAGTATAAGATTTTAGGAGCATTGTTGCCATCATGTGTGTTTATCATGCTTCTTCTCAGACAGCTCTTTACCTATCTGTATTTGGTTTTTCTTTTATCGCTATTCCCTTCCATCCATGCAATACGGTCCGTAGTATCTTATTCTCATGAATCCACCTCAATACCTGTATCATTCATGTCCTGCTTGTACACATCTTTATAGAGACGAGCTCAACATCTTCAAACCATTGGAAATTCACCATAGAGGAACACAGTGGGGACTCTGCTATCCTCCATTTTCAAGTCTGTCCTAGCCATCTGAGCCTTTGAAAATTGAGCATTAAGAAAACTGTTGTGATACCCACTCCTTTTGATACAGTAGTGTTTGTAATCTTAACATACCACCCAGTGCCAAAAACACTTTATAGGCACTGCATGTGAAAGCTGTTTAGCCATTTTTCCTGGTACAAATAAGGTCATCAAGTTTCACTGCTGTAATGTAGAAGGCTGAGAACATAAGATCGATAGACATGGGTTTTTGTTCTCTCAAACTCTTGGTGGTGGTGGGGGGGGGGGGGGCCATACACATATATTAAATCGGTATTGCTATTCCCAGTGTGGGTTTCGGGGCCCTATTATAGAGAAAACAAGAATAGACCCACTGCCTACCTAAAAGCATGTCGTAAGGGTCGACTAATTGGGAGCTTCCTTCGAAGTGGGGGGGGGGGGGGGGGGGGGGCATTTGCCTAAGAGGCAAGGAACCAGTAGTCTGCATACAAATTAGTCAGATCTGTCAAATGGATGCACACGCAACACTAAGGTTCTGGAACAGGACTGCAGTCCAGAGGTGGATGAACAACCAGAACTTTCCACCAGAGTTTACAGCTGGTGAATACGAAGAAGAAGAGGTATTGCTATAAGGAAATATAAAGAACAACTAAAACAGTTACCTATGGACTACAAACATTCCTGAATTGTTATTTACACAGAATGCAGGAAGTTAAATAGTATAACAGAATAATTAATGTTAAGATTCTGGAGAGAGCAAATCAAAGTAATGAAAAAGTACTTGTATACAAGTCTTGTCTTGTCTTGTCTTGTCCACAATTGCCTCACAGCGTAGTGGGGAGTCGCAGTTTTCTATCCTGGGCCAGGTGTGTTGCACGTGTTGTTGTTAGTCCGTGTTGCCTCAGTATCTCTGATATATTGTCTATCCATCGTACTCTCGGTCTGCCTCTTGCTCTAGGGCAGTAGTGATGTTCGTTGTATGCTCGTAGAGGCAGTTGGTCGGTTTGCAGTCGCATCAAGTGGCCAAACCACTCCATTTGTTGCTTCTTTATGTATTGCAGTCATGGTGTGGTTCCTACAATTGCTCTAATGTTCTCGTTTCGAACTCTGTAATGTATACAAATACTTTCATTTAGCCAAGAACTGAGTGCTCTCAAAAGTGATGTCCTGCAGCAAGAGTTACAGTCCATCTTGGAACTAATGGAGATGGAGACAGACAACAAATGTAAGTAATAAGATCAAAAGGTGCAGTAGCTGACAGTCTGTTTACTAATTTGGTAACTGTTTCACATTATTATTATTTACCTAGGGTCCTACTTTTTAAAATGTCATCACTTTATGTATGCTTAACCAAAAAGTCATTTACTGTTTATTCCCTTTAAGCTGATTATTGTGTCAGTCATAGTTTCAGGCAGTGAGTTTTGCACATTTGTGTCAATGTGAAAATCATTGTGTATTTTCCATTTTCTAAAGACGAGTTTTTTTTAACTTTATTCCACCTTCCATATTTATGTTGTAAGATACTAATAAGTAATTTAATAATATCACAAAAGGCATGGTAACATTTATAATTTCCTAGACTGTTCGACTACAAAACATTACATTTGGATTACAGAGAATGCTTAGAAAGATCAAGATGGACTGGGTTCAAAGACAGTGACTGGAGTCTCAGAGAAGGCCACATGCTGAAAAACATCTGCTTATTTCCGTGCTAGGGCATGCAAATGTAATAGAAAATAATCAGCGCACTTATGGATTTATTTCTTTTCTTCTTTGCCAGTTATATTTTGAGAATCTTTTGATAGCACTTCAGCATTGTTTGAGCCTTAAAGAGTTAAATAATAAATCCTGGATGTATTGCCTTTATCTCCAGGGGTTGTGCTGACTGTGGTTCTACTGATGAAAGCTCTTGATCCATTCAAATACGAGATGGAAATCATGAACAACCTTGACAGACTTGAGGCCTTGGATTTTAAGAGGGTCAACTATTACAAAGATTTACGTAAGTATGAAAATTGTTGATCATCTTGAATTTGTATGTCTGCAAAGCAGATGGTCAAATGTATCCTGCAGTTTGCTGTATGTATTGTCAGTTGTTTGTTGAACATTGCTTGACAGAGACACGCAACTACAATAAGTTGTTTGGGAGACTTGATAAACTAGTTACAACATGCATTGGCTGACAGACATGCAAATCCACACAAAGTTGTTTTGGAGACTTGATAAACTAGTTACAACATACATCCAGTGGTTGTTTCAGAGACTTGATAAACCAGTTACAACATTCATTGACTGACAGACACACACATCAACACACAATTTTTTGCTTATGCTGGACGGTGGCCGATGCATTTTTGCTCCATTTGTAGACTTGATATAGTTTCGTCGCCCAGCTTCCGAGTTGAATTCATGGCGTGACACTGTGAGCTGCAGATTTCATTTCGAATTTTTTTTCGACTGTGACAAATGTGGTGGTGTGAATGGTAGATTCAGAAAATGGCGCGATGCCTGTCGTCGCAATTTTGGTCGTGCCCATATGTGATTTAAATTGATCCCGTGGGCAACTGCAGATCTGTTGGTGACTTCTGCTACCATCAATGATGAACTGCATTTCTAATGGCGGACTGTTTGTGTTAGCACTTTGGATGGCTACCGTATGCTTTAATGCGAGTGTATGCTAGATATGCTGAGACAGCAGTCTATCAATCTTTCCACAAATGACTGTGATAAACATTCTGTGTGTTTTTTGTTAGCACAGGAGCGGAGCAAAGATGACGTGACCCGTTTGCTATGAAGCTGAAACTAAGATGCCAGACAGAGTTGTTTGGGAGACTTGATGAACCAGTTACAACATACACTGACATAACATACACACATCAACACAGAGTTGTTTGTGAGACTTGATGAACCAGTTACAACATACACTGACATGACATACACACATCAACACACAGTTGCTTTGGAGACTTGATGAACCAGTTACAACATACACTGACAGAACATACACACATCAACACAGAGTTGCTTTGGAGACTTGATGAACCAGTTACAACATACACTGACAGAACATACACACATCAACACAGAGTTGTTTTGGAGACTTGATGAACCAGTTACAACATACACTGACATGACATACACACATCAACACAGTTGTTTTGGAGACTTGATGAACCAGTTACAACATACACTGACAGAACATACACACATCCACACAGAGTTGTTTGGGAGACTTGATGAACCAGTTACAACATACACTGACATGACATACACACATCAACACAGAGGTGTTTTGGAGACTTGATGAACCAGTTACAACATACACTGACAGGACATACACACATCAACACAGAGTTGTTTTGGAGACTTGATGAACCAGTTACAACATACACTGACAGGACATACACACATCAACACAGAGTTGTTTTGGAGACTTGATGAACCAGTTACAACATACATTGACATGACATACACACATCCACACAGAGTTGTTTGGGAGACTCAATGTACTAGTTACAACACTCATTGTCTGACAGACACACACATTCGTACAGAGTTGTTTTGGGGATTAACTAGTTACAAAATACATCCAGTAGACCAAATTTCTTGTGTGGACATTACTAAACGCTTTAAAAGAAGTCTTCTGCCTTATATCTCCCACTGGAGCCCAGGCAGTCATTCGAATCACAGCAAGCCCCTTGTTCATGACTGGTTAGATTCTGCTGCCAAAATTATCTCAGGATGAAGAACCCAGTCTCTCCGCGACCCTCATTTGTTGCATCTGATAGTATGCATTATTGATCTTGCAGTGGGATAGACGTCTCCTTGGCGAGTTGTTTTGCGGCTTGTCTCTTCAGCCAGATTCTGTATCCAGGTCGTTCTTGGTTCCTGAGGTGTATTTAATGCAGCAAGTCTTGACACTCACATCAGCAGAGATCAGCGAACTGCAGTCTGAAAGAGTTTGCAACCAGAGCAAGAGGCAGAATGTTAAAGATCCATTGCAGCCTACTTTGATTGTGAAGATGGCACCCAATTCATTTATTTAATGCATTGTCTCAACACTTTGCAAATTTTTTTTTTCTTTTTCCAGGAAGTAAATTCCTTGTTGAGAATCTGATAGACACTTCTGAAGGTGATATAAAGTCAGTTGACCTGAAAGGAAAGAAGCTGACCAAACTCTACCACACAGAGCTGTTACCTCTAGTTACTGTCCTTGACCTATCGGATAATCACGTTCAAGAGGCGAAGTATTTCAACCATCTGCAAAGTTTGGTAGAACTAAACTTATCTACCAATGGCGTACAAAATTGTGAGGGACTTCAGCATTTACCGAAATTGGAAAAACTCTTGCTGCGTGACAATCGTATCCCTTTTTAAACAATTTTTTAATTTTTATTATTACTTTATTAACTTTCAGAAACTGTTAATAGTCATTGTTTAAATTTCGTCACACAATGAGATTGATTTGATTTGATTCGATTCAAGAACCGACATCACAGCACTCAGAGCATTCCTATAAGCGCTCCACCCCCATCTTCAGCAGCCAGCGAAGAGTTCTGATACTAATGATGCCAGTAGCATTCTGATAAAACGTCCGTCTTGCCTTTCCTCTGAGCCTCGAGCATTTGCCAGAACCTCTCGTCACTCCCCCCTGCATCAATCTCACCAGACTGGTGATCCATCTGCTCCTCCGAACTGTACACGCTCTCCCACAAGGCACTAACCACATCTACCTTATCATGTATTAGTATTCCACCAAGTTGTGCAGACTCAGCCAGTCTGTCAGCCTGTTCATTTCCTAACACACCGGCGTAACCCGGTGAAAAAATCCAGACAATACTCCTCACCGTGTCCTCCGCAGCGAAGCATGCCTCTGCACGAAGCATACCTGTTCTGATCTTCCTCAGCGTGTTTTCTGAGTCAGTTACAATCACGATGTGTGTGTGTGTTTTGTTCTCTAGCCAGCGGAAAGCTGCAGTGACCGCCTCCACCTCTATTCTTAAGCTGGATGTTGTGGTATCATATGCTAGGCTCTCCTGCACCAAACGTTGACCATTAACTTTTGCTAAGAAGCCTTAAGCACTTCTTTTGCCTCTTGACACTGAACCGTCTGTGTAAATGATCAAATCCTCTGAGCGAGCATTATCTTGAATTAATTGCTAAATTTCCATCACTGTGGCACCTGCTGGCCAGTCTCTGCATTCCCGGCTCAGTGTGATTATGACCCTACACAAGTCTGACTGTTCAGGTGGCTCTTTGACCCACTCCTCTCCTTATGTTCTCAAGGATGCAAACCTGTCTGATTGTGTCTTCTGCCTGAGCCATCCATGACTTCTCTCTTATCAGCCGCTGACCCTTAACTGCACCCAGAGCTTCGTGCAAAGGGTGGTCTGTGTCTGCAGCTTACCTTGAGATAACACTTCAGCTGCAACAGTCGACAAAAGAAGGAAGTATCGCATACACACCACTGGTGTGTCTCTGGTGCAACCCAGAATGACCCGCATAGCTGCGTTCTGTATGCGCTCTAGTTTGTCCATCTGACTCTTTGAGACGGTAAGCAGTCCCAGGCCATAATCAACCACTGACAGGATCAGGTGCTGATATAGTGTGAAAAGCATTCTCTGCTCCATGTCAATTGCAGCCATAGTCTTAAGTGCACTACGTCCTTTTTGGCATCTTGTCACAACACTCTCCACATGGTTCTCAAAGGACAGGCTCCTGTCAAATGTAATTCCCAGATACTTCAGTTTGCTCTCTCTGTTGACCTTTCTACCATCTATCGTGAGACTTGGGACATTAGCTTTAACAAACATAATGAGAAAGTTGTGACAACCATGAAGATTGAAAAGATTAAAGGTAGAATTATAGAGACCAAGGACAGTGGACAGATATTTGTAGAGAAACAATGGTTACCAGTGTCACTTGGCATGTCACACGTAAAGATTAAGATGAGATGCAGACGTGAACCACGACTTGTGATGGTGAGCCAGGACCAAGGCTCAGATTGGTCAAGGTCTGTCCACACCTCTCCAGGGTCATCCTAGAAACAGATTCCCTTCCAGCGGCCTAGCCAGCTTAGATAAGATTGATATTTCCCTAGCATCCAAGCTGTTTCCCCATGGTAAATTTTAACAAAGAATACACAAACAATTGATTGCACAATTTTTTTTTTCATTCCTAAAGGATTCATTTATTGCTTTATTTTATTTGTTATTTTAGTGTGCGCCTGATGAGATACAGTGAAATATGCCAGGCAGTGAATTGTGCGATCTATTGTTTGTGTCTTTTTTTTTTTTTTTTGGTTCATAATTCTATAGAAGTCAAGAGTACAGGGTTTATACTAGGAACCAACAGCCTGCTTACTAATAAGCCTTATATGTACCAAAAAAAAAACAGTTGGATGTTCTGAAACAATACCAAAGTCTGGAATGAAAGTAAAGTTCACTCACAAACAACCAGGTCTTTCTGTCTGAGTTCGGCAAACGCAGAAGAAGAAAAAGATTCATCTGGGTAAAGATATGAACATTACATCTCCCCCTGACACTTCGATGAGATAAAAGGTGGAAGAGAAGAAGAAGTAGAAAGATTCGACATCATAGCATTCAGGACAAGCTCATATTAGCGGTGTCCCTTTAACAGCCAGCGAAGAGTTTCCATATTGATGGTACCCATTGTCATCTCGCTAGCCACTTATCTTGAGTACTGTCCGCAGCCTGCACACAAACATCATTCTCTCCAGGTACAGGTTTTGAATATCTTCCATTTTACTTGTTACCCCATCCTACCGGTGAAGAATAGGATTATGATGTTGTAATGAGTGTTGACATCCTTGACTTCATCACCAGGTTTGTCATCACCACTGAGCTTTCAGCCCCTGCAGTCTTGCCCCAAACTGAAACACCTGAACATCTCTGGAAATCCAATTTGTGAGAGTGAAGATCTTATAGAGCAACTTAGAGAATTACTGACTGGTGTTGAAATCATACTCAAGTCTTCTTGATGAGCAACAGATGGAAGTTTCCATATTTTGATTCTTAGAAATGTGGTATTATACAGAGGTAGCCACACACACAAAATATAACTACAGAAATCGCCTATCAAGCCTTCATATGGACACCAGAAGGGAAAAGAAACTGGGGAAGACCAAGAGATTCCTGCATAGAACCAACGTCAGGGCAAGCTTCACCATGGGCCTAATAAACATCCTAAGGTGTCCTTGCCGACATGGAGCTGACGGCCATCACACCTAGCCAGTGACAGACTCCATAGGTCTCTTGTGAACAACCTTATCCATCTCATAGGTGTGAATTCACCTAGGGGACTTAACATCCCAAAATTTGAATATCTCTGTGTTACAGCCCTTATAAAAGACAGCCTTTTCTGGTCAGAATTTATTTCTTGTGGCCACACACATGTCAGATACTCCACTGGTCAGACAGAGATGAGATTTATGTCGTAGATTTGTCAGTTAAGTGATTTTGTGTATTTCAGTGAGTGATTTTTGTGTATTATTGTTCGCATTTATGCTTTTGTAGATTAAAATGTGCTGATGCAGGCTGTCTATACATAGCCTTCACTTATTTGTGTTTGTGATATTGTAAAGCTGATTGGTTTGACATTTTCATTTGATGTTTTCATGATGCTCTCCAAGCACAGAAACCTGTGAGGTATTCAAGTTTAGAACCAGACTTTACATATACAGAGAGAAATGGTTGAATGGTGTGATCCATAGATCAGTAAGTAGCCAGGCTGGGAATCCAGACAGTACCACAACAGAGCCCCTGTTCCAGTTAGCTAGGACCTGTAAACTCCTCTTATCTTCCATGGACAGTCATCCAAAAGAACTTATAATTCTGTTTTATAAAGTTGATTCTGAAAGATTTGAACATCATGGATGATTGGCTAATTAAACAGCATTTAATCTCGGAAGCTGAAATATTTTGGCCATATCAAGCGCCACGTTGGATTGGGGGGAAAAAAATAGCAGAGGGCATAGTACCAGGAAGGAGGGGCAGGGAGCAACCAACATGAAGATGGGCACAGGATATAAGTGACTTCTAAGAAATGAAAGTGCCTGAGGTGGGAGAGCTAGTGAGAGAGAGTTTCTTTCAGGCAGACTGTGATGATGATTCTAAAGATAAGGGTATTTTTTGTAAATGACATCACAGACCCATTACATTTGTTCCATAGACTGTAAGGTTGAGAGGACCCAATGAGAAAGACTGACACTGAGATGTCATTGCCTTCACCACTGGGAGACCTGATAATGGTCTATTATAGACTTCTTCTTCTTCTTTGTGTTCACCAGCTGTACACTCTGGCGTAAAGTTCTGGTTGTTCGTCCACTTCTGGACTGCAGTCATGCTCCAGAACCTGAGTGTTGCATGTGCATCAGTTTTACAGATCTGATTCAATTGAATGCAGACTGCTGGTTCCTTGCCTCTCAGGCAGATGCACTCCGACTTCAAAGGAAGCTCCCCAGTTAGTCGACTCTTACGACATGCTTTTGGGGAGGCAGTGGGTCTATTCTTGTTTTCCCACAATAGGGTCCCGGAACCCACACGGGGGATCTATTATAGACTGATAAATACATTCCTTTTGTAGTGTGTACATGCAGTGATATTTGTGTCTGTAATGTGCTTGAGTTGCCAGTATGTTTCTTTTCAAATGTCCATTGATTCCTTATGGGCTTATTTGATGAAATATTTATTGTGTTTGTTAAAGACAATAAAACATCAGCTACAATAATGGATTTTTTTTTGTAAATATGTGTGGGTAGAATGTACTGCTGTATATAAAAGAAAACTACATGTGTTTTACCACAGCCCCTAACCCTGTCACTCCAAGAAGCTGCAAAACCAACACTTCCAGCTTGTACAATGGTTCCGTAAAATGTACTTTACCAACTTGGCTACTGTGGCTTGTTTACGAGATATCTAGCTACTAAAGCAAATTTATCGTTCGTACAGGCACATATGTTAACTAGGAACAGAAATGACTAGTTAATTTTTTTTTTTTTAAAGGCATGTAGAATTATATTCCTGTGAAAAAAATTGTTTTATTAATAACAGAAATGTTTCCCACCTATGAGTGTTAACCTGTGACTGGATCATGGGGTTAAAAAAAAATAATCACCATATTTTTAGACTCAGAGATGTATCCCAGTTATTTCTGTGCTGCATTCATGTCTCAGAGAGATTTATCCCAGTTATTTCTGTGTTGCATTCATGTCTCAGAGAGATTTATCCCAGTTATTTCTGTGTTGCATTCATGTCTCAGAGAGATTTATCCCAGTTATTTCTGTGTTGCATTCATGTCACAGAGAGATTTATCCCAGTTATTTCTGTGTTGCATTCATGTCTCAGAGAGATTTATCCCAGTTATTTCTGTGCTGCATTCATGTCTCAGAGAGATGTATCCCAGTTATTTCTGTGTTGCATTCATGTCTCAGAGAGATTTATCCCAGTTATTTCTGTGCTGCATTCATGTCTCAGAGAGATGTATCCCAGTTATTTCTGTGCTGCATTCATGTCTCAGAGAGATTTATCCCAGTTATTTCTGTGCTGCATTCATGTCTCAGAGAGATTTATCCCAGTTATTTATGTGTTGCATTCATGTCTCAGAGAGATTTATCCCAGTTATTTATGTGTTGCATTCATGTCTCAGAGAGATGTATCCCAGTTATTTATGTGTTACATTCATGTCTCAGAGAGATGTATCCCAGTTATTTCTGTGTTGCATTCATGTCTCAGAGAGATGTATCCCAGTTATTTATGTGTTGCATTCATGTCTCAGAGAGATTTATCCCAGTTATTTATGTGTTGCATTCATGTCTCAGAGAGATGTATCCCAGTTATTTATGTGTTGCATTCATGTCTCAGAGAGATGTATCCCAGTTATTTCTGTGTTGCATTCATGTCTCAGAGAGATGTATCCCAGTTATTTATGTGTTGCATTCATGTCTCAGAGAGATTTATCCCAGTTATTTATGTGTTGCATTCATGTCTCAGAGAGATGTATCCCAGTTATTTATGTGTTGCATTCATGTCTCGGAGAGATTTATCCCAGTTATTTATGTGTTGCATTCATGTCTCAGAGAGATGTATCCCAGTTATTTATGTGTTGCATTCATGTCTCGGAGAGATTTATCCCAGTTATTTCCCAGTTAGTTCATTCATGTCTCGGAGAGATTTATCCCAGTTATTTCCCAGTTAGTTCATTCATGTCTCGGAGAGATTTATCCCAGTTATTTCCCAGTTAGTTCATTCATGTCTACCAATGACTACCTGTATTCTGCATGGGATTTAACATTGTTGTGGTCAGTTAACTGAATTATCAGGCATCACTATTTACAATTACCTCATAGTAAAACAGTCTGTTGAGAAAAGCGCTAAGTACAGAATTTTAAAAAATCTTTATTAACAAAACTGCACATATAAAGATGAAAAATTATTATAAAGCTAACATCGAAATTGAAAGCTCTAAAGGTTTATAAGATAATGTTCTGAGGAAAAGATACAACATTGCATGTAAATATTAAAATGGCACAGCCCAAGAATTTCTTCACTAAGTCATCTGGGTAAAGATTTGACATCACAGCACTCAGGCAAACCCATATTAGCTCTGTCTCCCTCAACAACCAGCTAAGAGTCCCCATACTGACGGTACTAGTTGCCATCTGGTTATCTACTCGTCTTGCCTTTCCACCCAGCCTCAAGTGGCATCCAGAGCCCACTCCATCATTCTCTCCAGGTAGGGGTTTTTAACATGTTCAGGTCCCACAGATGAGAGATTACTTGTACAGTACACCCGACAACGGAGCCACTCTAGCCAACCTATCTGCCTGCTCAAATGCTGGGGTTGGGTCTGCAGCGTCCTGTAAAGGATACACAACTAGTATCCTAGCACACAAAGGTGGCCGCAGTGATGTTTATCATATAACCCACTTAGTGCTGATTGGTCTATAAAATTAATCTTTCCCAATTAGATAAGAAATGCTGACTCTTTTTATTTTCAAAGTCCTGCCACAGACCCCATACTTTTTAATAGACATATTACAAATTTTAAATAGAGTAAACCCATATTCTTTTTTTGCCCCAAGATGGGGCACCAGAACCCTCATGGGGAATACTCATTTCTGACGGGAGGGGGCAGGGGGGGGGGGGGGGGGGGGGGGGGGGGGGTCCTAAGTCAGGCTTTGTTTTTAAAGAAATCCCCACCTTGATGGAGCCGCCTTGGGTGTAGCAGTTAGACACTTTGCTCAGGCCTGAAGGTTGCAGGTTAAAATCACACTGAGGCATTCTTTTCACAAATGACCCTTGGCGCTCAGGTCGACCCAGCCTAAGATGGATATGAGGAAAAGTCATGAAAAGTAAAGGCAGCTGTTGTGATGCTACACACATCAACCATTAATTGCTGATTTGTCTGTAAAATATCGGTCTAGCATCATATACCGAATAGTGGTGCAGCAAAAGGTTCTTACTTTACTTGATGGGGATTTAAACACATAATCTCAAGGTTGGCATACAGTCAAGCTAGCAATTTTACTACTGCAGCTTCAAATTTACACTTAACCATAAGATATTCAGTTTATTTTCAAAGATCACAAGAAATGTCCAGTTTGAAAAGATGGACACAGGAAGCACACAGTTTTAAAAAGCAACGTCAGAATACAAGCACATTTATTATAATTCTTTATGTGAAGAGTTCTGATCAACTTGCATCTATGCATCACCTGATTGGATTAAAAACTAATCAATTCTTATGTCAGTGGATTCAATTTTCATCATCATCATCCAACTTGAATTAAAATTCGTCTATTCATTACTTGACTGAATTCAAAACTCATCTATCCATTATTTCATGAGATTCAATACTCATTGTTCATCATTACCTGGGATTTAACTCTACAGACCACTGTATCACTAATTCCCTAATCTGCCGCTAAACAGCTGTACCTAATTTTCAGTACTTTGCATATTACGTGATAAAACACATCACAAACTAAAAATAACCAACCAATCGTGATTAAACCTTGTGGTTAGTCACTGCGAATGGCTGCCCACATGTGTTTGGATTTACTCTGTGTTGTTCAACGTGAAAAAATTCTGAAAATTCAAAATTAAACAAGCGGCTGATGAACCAAGCACTTGAGAAAGTGAAGTAGGTCTAAACTTTTCACAGTCCAACAGGTGATTGATTCTTTGGCTGATTCAGACTCTGAGGAGTCAGAATTTCATCAAGAATACTTTATCAGTTCAAGAGACACAGTCAGTGAGAGCTCGAGTGATGAGGGGGTAGATCTAGAACTAGATTGATAGTAAGAAAAGGGGGTGTGTCCCTCAAACGGCAACATCTGATGCTCACTTTGTGAAACAAGACTCATCCTCCTGAGTGGATTAGCACACAAAAGTGGAATCTTGGTGCCAGATGAAATGTAAACCTACGTTCTACAATGTCTCCAAGTTTCACCTTATTCTAACCACTTGTTTGCATGTAACTAATATGTGTGTACATCATGTTAGTTTTTTTCGTGTTAATGCCCAGGAGCTCAGGTAGAGAGGGCAGTTAGGTTCAGGGCTTCAGGTCTGGTAGGGTTAAAACTTATTTTTTCATCACTTGACTGAATTCAAAACACCTAATTATTTCACAGGATTTAAAACTCATCTACTCATCATTTCATAGAGTTCAATGCCCATCTACTCATCAACTGATTGGATTCCAAACTCATCTACCTTGATAGAATTCAAAACTCATTTATTCATCATTTCATAAAATTCAAAACTCATATGATCATCACTTTCCAGGATTGGATTTAAGAGGGAAAAAACATGTTCATCACTTTAGGATACCAAACTCGGGTTTATTCATCGCCTGAGTGGACAAAAACTTTCCAGGATGTAAAACATTTATTCATCACTCAAGTGGATTCCAAACGGTCATCTATTCATCACTTGACTCCGAACTGTCTCCATCATCATCTTTATATTCATCTTCACCATCATCAGAGTCAGCACCTAAAAGAAATAGTAGAAAAATTTAGCAACCATAAAATATCAAGACTATTAATTTCTAACAAATTAGAGAAGTAAACGCACTTACTGATGGATCTAAATGTGCCAATCAGAATTTTACATCACAATTAAACAACAAAAAACTGTACATACTCTTGGCACATTAGGCAAACAGTGGTACAGTACCGGATATCACATCATCATACAACACACTCTGTGACATCCTGATCTCACGAATCCTGCCTCAAAACCTGTACCATTTATCTCCCACTGGCATACATCTTTATAAAACAGAAGAGGTTGGCCTCGATGTCGTCAACCCATCTGTTATTCACCATGTCCTTAAGGACTCTGTCGGTCTCCAGGTCTTCCATGAGAAGAGAGAGGCATGACAATGTGATAAGTTAAATAATCGGTGGTATAAGAAGACCAGAAGAAATGATCCTGGATGGTCTAAAACGACGGCATGGATGAAAAAACAAGGGCCAAAATTTGTGGAGAGACAGGAAAGCAACAGCCACCTGGCAGGCCACATGGTGATGATACTATGTATGTACCAACGATACTATGTACATACTGACGCCCTGTACGTACCGATGATACTATATACGTACCAACTTTACATCTTTTGTCCATCCAATAGGCAAGCAGATCTCCATCATCATCACGGAGGAAGTTTGTGTCCACCATGTCTGTTAAGGAAAAATTAAACATGTATTTCTAAAACATAATCAACATCACATATCAACAGTGAGAAAAGAAAAAGAAGAGCAGTAAAAAAAAATAACTCTACATCGAAAAACTTAATTTTCTATGTAGACAATACTAGAACAGCTAACAAGAAGTAGATCATAATGCTAAGTTATTGTGACATCAGAAATCAGAATGGCTAAGACTCGATCTTATGTATTAAATGACAGTGAAATAACAGTTACTTTACTTTTCTTCAAACTTTACTTTTGTATACACAAAATGTCAAATATCCTCCCTTTCCTCTTCCATATTATCATCAAGTGCCTTGCCAACTGGCGTGGGTAATCATGCCTCTCCACAATCTGCAACTGCTTGCATCAGTTCATGTACTGACATTCCTTCATGCCATGACAAAAGACTGTCTAGAATCTTCTCACACTGTCTTCCTTTGTCTCTCTTTTCACAGATCATTCCAGTGGTCACAACTTGTTCCATTTTCTCTCGTCTCATAACATGACCCAAAAAATTATGACTTTCTCTTTCTGATGTTTGTGATAAGTTGTCTTCGAGCATTCGTCTCTTTCAAAATATCTGTGTTGCTCTTCCAAGGAATTCTAAGAATTCTTCTGTAAAACCACATCTCCGCAGCCTCAAGATATTGTTCGGCTTATTTCTCTGATTTATTAATTGTCCAGGCTTCACAGCCGTATGTTAAAACTGGCTGTATATATCATGCGAGAATTCTTTTCCTAAACTCCAATGACATGGCTCTTCCATATACAAATATAAATATTGTATCAACTACGGTTACTCACCTTCTGCATAGTCATAATCTTCATCTGCATTCTCAAAAAATCGAGGGTCCTCATCTGGATAATCAGCTCTCCAGTTATTTTCGTCATTACTGTCATCCTCGTCATCGTAAACCACATCCCTCTCTAAAATGTCATCCTCTTTATCATAAACAAGTTCATTACACAAGGCTTCAACAGTCAACACAGCTTCCTGGTCGAAGTCACTGAGGTTGCTGTGTGTGTAATAGAGGTCATACACGTACTCACTGGGGGAAGGGGTGGCAACTCTTTTACTCTGCAGGGGCACGTTGTTTAGAGTTATCCCGCAAGCCGATTGCTGTTTCAATGTTGAAAATTAAACAAATATTAGTGACAAAGTTGTTTCATTATTGAATAACATACATTATACACATGGAAGCCAAAATGAGCAACCAAGAGGTTTTAAAAGAGGCGGGAGCCCGAAGACAACTTATCACAGACATCAGTAGGAGACAGTCATAATTTTTCGGCCATGTTATGAGAAGAGGGAAAATAGAACATGTGATTACCACTGGAAAGATCTGTGGAAGGAGGGATAGAGGAAGACAACGAAAGAAGATTCTTGATATCTTGTTGCATGGCATGGAGGTGTGTCGGCAACATGAACTGATACATGCTGCAGGAGATCGCAGATTGTGGAGAGGCATCTCACCAGTCGGCAAGGCACCTGACGATGATGATACACACTTTCTGCAAAGGTAAAGTAAAACACTTTTTTTTTATGCCAGTCATTGCATTGGACATATGATGTTACTTAGACTTTTATTCTTACAGACCAGTCTGCAGTAAGTGGCCGATGTGATCAACTTCACCAGGCTACCTTTACCTGCCAGGATAGTACCTGATACCCATTTTAGGCTGGTTCAACTTTGGAGCCAATGTTATCCAAAAACATCAGACTGTGCAGATTTGAACCCATGACTATGTGAAAATTTGAACCCAAGACTATGTGCCGATTTAAACTCAAGACTTATGGACCAATAGGCAAGCATACAGCCACAATTCTACCTTGGTTCCCGCAAAAATAAACATATAACATTCTGAGTATTAACTCTTTATGGACGAATCGCCAGTTTATTGGTCTTCCAGGTCCATTACTCACGGACGAAAAAACAGTTAAATGGCTTGTGATATAGACACTCTAATGTTGTTCCGTTTGTGGAGAAAACGAACTTTTATGAACCAGTTTTTGAACAATCAGGATTCAGCACAGGAAGTCCTTTCGAGTGAGAAGATTAGCGTGGTGTGTTTACATCTTTGTGATTTGTTTTAGATTTTTTTCTGTGCAATATAATTTTTTGTGTGAGTTTTCTGAAATGGCAAATTCCAACCCTTCAACATCCACTGCAAATAGAGCTAAAAGAATGACAAAAATGCAGGCTTTAGATCTTATGCAGCGGTTGTTAGATGAAGAAGATAATTCTAGTAGTGATGATAACTTAGATTCAGAATTATCTGACAATGATGTAGATGATGACGATCGAGAATATCAGCCATCTGCTGCAAAACACGCCAGACTAAATGGTAAGGGTAAGGGAAAGCAGAACAATAACAAAGCCTACAGAACTGCCCATACCGCTGCTGTCGTTGATGAATCTGAGCCAGATAGTGACAACAATAGTGTTGACTTTATAAATAATGATAATGCATGTGCAGTATCTGTTGCAGACGTTATGGCTTGCGATGAAGCTGAAGAAAATGTTTCGATCGGATCGTCCCTGTTTCGATCAGCTGGGTCTGGAATTCGGGCATCACTGGATGAAAATTCAACACCGCTGGATTGCTTATTGACACTGCTGACAACTGATATCATTGACAGCCTTGTTGAGAACATAAATCTTTATTCAGTGGAAAAAATACAGAAAAATATACCACTGAGAAAAAGATCTACATTGTCTGAGTGGCAGCCAATGACTAGAGAAATTTGTTTTCAGTTTCTCAGTGTAGTGATAGCAATGGGAATTACACCGAAACATGACATCAAAGATTACTGGTCTACAGCGAACCACAAATTCACACCATGGTTCAAGGTAATGTTTCCAAGAACTAAGTTCTTGCTTGTTTACCAGTCAATGCTGCATGCATCGGAACCCAAAGCACAAGGCCAAGCAAAGATTGAGCCATCTGTGAATAATCTAGTAGCAAAGTTTCAGTCAGCATTTTGCCCATATGGAAAGCTTTTTGTTGATGAGATGGTGATTGGTTTCAAAGGCAGGTTTCATGCTAAACAGTACAATGCAGCCAAGCCTCACAAGTATCATAAAAAGACATTTGGTCTTTGTGATTCAGTCACAGGCTATGTTTATAATCTGCTAATTTACTTTGGAGCAAAAACTGCCTACAATCCTGAGCTTGATCCAACATCAACTCACGCTGTAAAGGTATTTTCAACCCTGCTGCAGGGTGTTGAAAGTTACCATCATCTATTTGCAAATAGATTTTATACATCACTCCCTCTCATTAAATTTTTTTTATCCATGAAATTGAATTATACTGGCATGGTGAATAAAAACCGCAAAGGATTACCGCAGCAGCTAAAACAACAACCAGCCATCTTTGGAACTCCGAGATGGTTAGTTAATAATGAGCAGAATATCCTTTGCGTTTCCTGGAGGGATAAAAAATCAAAAAAAAAACCTTGTATCCTACTGACCACAAATGAAAGTTCTACATTTGAGGAACGCCAGGAAGGGAGTCGAAAGGTTCAGAAACCTAGCCCCATTTACTCATACAATATGAGTATGAATGGCTGTGATCGTTTGGATCAAATGGTCTCGTACTATAGTAACCACAATTGCAAAACTAAGAAGTGGTGGAAAAAGGTTTTCACATGGATCGTGGAAGTGACGCAGGTCAATGCTCACATCTTGTACATGTTATCCCATCGTGCTGCCCCCAAGCGAATGAGTCTCGCACATTTCAAAGACAAGCTCATCCAGCAACTAACAGCGCTCTCAGGTCATGAAGTTCCAACAGACATGCTCATTGCTGTGGCTCGCAGACCAGGCAAAAGGCCAACCTTGTCTGACAGTTTTGTTGGGGCAGACCATTTAGTTGACTATGCTGGTGCAGACAGGCAATGTGTACAGTGCAGCAAGAAAAAGATTTGAAAACGCAGCAGGTTTTACTGCGTCGGATGCGCTGACAAGCCTCATCTGTGCCCCAATGCATATTTTAGGGCATATCACACCCAGTAAGGTGGTTGTATTCAAGATCAATATCATCATCCCTGTCAGATAAATAGAGTCTTAAGTCACTGGAATTGCCCTTATATATTATGTAAATATTTTCTTTCCCGGTTGTTTTGAAATTTGACGCGTCAAACAAAAATAATGACAAAATTTAAAGTATTTGGAATAATTGTTTCAAAGAAAGACTAGCTGATGCATACTTGAATAGAGAAGGCATGTGAATTCTTAGAAATGGATAGCTATGCTGCTGAACAAGTAAAAGGATAAGGTGAGAACGACATTGCATGTCTAAAATATTTTTTTCGTCTAACATCCTCTAATGTGGTGTCAATGTTGTATGTTATTGTTGCGATACTGACCCTTAGATAGTTTACATGCATTCTGCATTCATTTCTCTTTAATTTGATGTATAACATGGTACTATACAGCCAGTACTTTTTCAACAGGATGGTTTTAGCTTTGTCATATTGCTGTTACAAAATTCAGTAATTCAGTTTTCCTTTTCATTCGCTTATTCTAAAATTTGACATGTCACATAAGAATTGTCATAAAATGCAAAGTATTCAGGATAATTGTCTCAAATAAAGGCTAGCTGATACATAATTGAATAGAGAAGGCATGTGAATTCTTAAGAATGGGGAGAGATGTTTTTGAAGAAAAAAAAAGTTAGGTAAACACAATATTTCTGACAAAAAACAATTCCTGTGCGTCTAATAACTAATATAATCGATATGGGACATTGGAGACCCATAGAATGAAACACAAACTATTAACCTTGCAGTAACTTCAGAAAAATTTGAAAAATGCAAGGGCAACCACTGGTTCCAGCAGTTATGAGACAAAGATGATTATATATTGGACACACCTAGATAAGACATGAGCATAGAATCATTAAACAGCACTGAAATGAGAAATAAAGAGGTTGAGAAAAGTAGGAAGTCCATAAGACACCTTAAAAGGAATACTGATGACAGAAGCCAAAGGTCACGCTTCCAGACATCTTCTTCTTGTTCACCAGCTGTAAACTCTTGTGTTCAAGAATGCTAGTTGTGCATGCATATCCATTTTACACATTTGCAGCATGTGTGTGCAGGCTTTTGGTTCCTTGACTCTAAGGCAGCTGCACTCTGACTTCAAAGGAAACCTCTTATGACATGCTTGTGAGAGGCAGTGGGTCTTTTCCTCTCTCCAAGGGGTCCCAGAACCCACTATGGGGCCCCAGAATACACACTGGGAAATTCCATACATGATTTTAAAAGAATTTCACAGGTTACAACAGAATGCAGAAAACAGACTGCAGGCCCCATGTGACATACAATGACTGTGATGAAGAACTTCGGAAAAACTAACATTTTTTTTTTACAGATGGCACTGAGATGCCAAGGGTAAATAACTATTTAAAAAAAAAAACTAGCGTGGGACAATAACAACAACAAAATATGAACTAACCTGGCTAATGTCCTTCTGTACATCATCTTCAGCATCATTTTCAACATCAAATATGCAAAACATTTTGTCCTTGATCATCCCACTCCGTGTATCATTATCTGCACGGAGGTCAGAATCTGTTTCTGCTGTTGTTTTAAAAATTGTGCTCTGCTGTACATCTCCCTTGTGTGATACTTCTTTACAACTATCACTAACATTGTGATCTGAACAACTAGAAGATGATGAAGCAGGTTCACTTTCTGTGCTTTCTTCACTTGACAATTTGTTTCCTTCTGAAGATTTATCCTTTACATCTTTAGCACACTCAGTCTCCTGAGATGCTGCTTTTTCAGAAGAATCACTAGAACTTTTAACGTTCTCGTCATTATCTTTGTCTAAAAAGTCAAGGTCTAATGCTCGCCGACTACATGTTATGCGAAATCTGTTTGTGCGTGAAGTCTGCTCTGTCTCTTTTCTAAGTTTAGTGGTAATTTCAGGAAAGTGAACAGAATGTTTAAAACTGGCTGAGTGTGGGTGAAGTTCTTTATGAATCTTTTTCTGTCGAATGGCCTCTTTAATGTGGTTTGAAATGGGCTCATCCTGTCAGAAAGATTTAACCAAAAACAAATTAAAATAAGTCTCATTTACACCCAGCATGCCGTGGCACCAAATAACTATTGTATGTTAACAATTTTAGTAGGACAGTTGTCTCACAATGAGAGTCAACAAAAATGAAATAGCATGTTACTAGCAGTTAATTGAATAAAAATAAAACTTTCTATGAGTGCCGTTCACAATACTTTCTGTTACTTGATTAATTCATAATATTTAACGGCCTCAAATGGTTCCCCCCTCTGTTTATTTATAGGAATGACGTATACACACCGGAACCTACCAATCAAATACCTTTCTTAAATGTTTGTGTATTCTAGACAAAGCAATAAGGTCTTACTGTGTTCGTAAATTGTTGCTGTGATTGTTATTCGACATTTGCTTCGTTAATATAAATTTCTGTAACCTATGGTGCCATTTCAATGGGTTGAAATGAATTCTGTCCGTATTCCATAGTCGTGGATTTCAAGCTGTACGATAGGCATGGCCAATGAGACACCTTTTTTGGGGGGTGCCTAGTTGACCATGTATCTTAGTGCACTTGTATTCATGGCGAGGCGCAGACGCCGTCTGGAGGTGACAGGTTCAATTCCCGGCACGGTAACTATAGCTTTCGATTTTTATGTTGTCTAGTGTGTTCTTCTATCTTTCTACTTCTTTCTATGAGTGCCGTTCACAATACTTTCTGTTACTTGATTAATTCATAGAGTATAAGCAGAACACACAGTGGCTATATTGTTAAGCCATTTGCCCCATTATCGAACGCTCGTGTGATTTGTTGCGCATGTAAAAAAAAAAACACCTTGGCAGTTACAAATCGAAAAGAGTAGCCAAACGGCGCTGCCCAGGCCAAATTTTGAGTTGAAAATCTACCCAAAGTATTTCAGGATCCTTGCCGATGCTATAGAGCCTGTGCACTGTGCTGAGCTTCTTCAGGACTCAGACTTGAGTAAGAAGAAGAACGAAGCTCTTATGGATTACTATCCATATACTATGATGTTGATCTGTTGTTCAAACTTTAAACTTCTTCATGGTCCGAAAGTTGTAGGCTCTCTGGGAATCGTTGCTAGAGCTATGCTACTATGAAGGTTGTGCATTGTTCTCAAGAAGTGGCTAGCCATTGTTTAAAGACAGAACGAGCCGTGTTAGGGTAAAACCAGGTGCAATTAAGTGGATATTGTTTACTTTAAACTTCTTTTAATCATAAAGTGCTTACTTAAAACTAGTGAGCTGGTGTCCATTTGTATATGTTAACAGGGCCAAATGAGATATGCATGTACAGATTGGCCGCACTGCCCCAAATATAATATTTGATTGCAAAGGGATCTGTTGAGAAACGAAATAGTAGTTGTTGCCATAAAATGCAAACATTGGCAATCCATCTTTTGTCAGATGCCACTATAATTTGTCCATGGTGGTACTAGCCACCGATAAAATTCTAATATCTCAACTTAGAACTGAGCTCTAAAGCCACAGGCTTCAATGAGGTATTGGGTTCTCCTTTAAACTACGGCCGGTTAGTCGGAGTTCAGTCCCCTGGCTACAGTGCAATTACGGAGTGGAGAAGGCACGAATCACAAAACAAAGGTCCGTCGACATGGCTGCTAGAGCTAGACCACACGCTGCGACTCACATTAGCGACCGTGTTCTTGCAACGCACAACTTGGTGGCCGTAGATGTGACACCTGCGGATCTGTATGCCTTAATGAGCGACAAGCTTGCGTGGTTGCGGTGGCTAGCTGAGCATAGAGTTATAAGGAACATGCAGGTATGTGCCTCGTGCAACTGTCCTTGGGCACTAGCCGGGCGCTATTGCCTTCATATTTAGCAGAATTCTAATGGCGCCACTGCCACAAGCAGAACATTTTCGGCTGTTATTTGCAACTCCTGTGTCACAATTATCAGATATAGCGGTCGTCATTATGGGTAAGTACTTGACGTTACATGTGTTACCCTAACCATAACCCTACCCTACCCCTAACCCAAACCATTTATGTCATTTGTTTCGTTCCCTCTTTTCCACTCCGTAATAGCACTGCAGCCAAGGGACTGAACTCCGACTAACCGGCCGTAGTTTAAAGGAGAGCCAGGTATTGTAATTTTGGATTAGATATTTTAATCTCTATCCAGCTGTAATAGTATTAGTTTTATAAGTAAAAACCCAATATATAAAACTTTAAAAGCATCCTTATATTATAAAGGATTGCTAACTTTACAGATTTTTTATAAACAAAACAAATAATGAATAATAAATAATGGGCTCTCCTTTAAATAACGGTCGCTAGCTGGAAGGCGACGGCCGCTTAGTCGGAGTTCAGTCCCCTGGCTGCAGTGCAATTACGGAGCGGGCAAGTCACGAATCAAAACACACGGTGAGGTCGACATGGCTGCTAGAGCTAAACCACGCGCTGCGACTGACAGTACAACCGCGCTCTTCCGACGCAAGACTCTCGTAGACCACGAGCTGCAACTCAATTTAGCGACCGCGTTCAATTACCGCTTCTTGCGACGGCTGTGACTCAATTTAGTGACCGCGTTCATTTATCGCTTTTTGTGACACATTACGGAGTGGACTAGAGGGAACGACACAAGTGACATAAGTACTGTGTGTTGGTGATAGACAGCGTGCAGTGCCCTACTGTCATCACACGGTTAGGGCTTTGGTTACGGTTAGGGGTAGGGTTTGGGTTAGGTTTAGGGTTAGGGTTGCTACTATGAGTTTGTGCGAAGATGAGATGCGGCGACACTAACCGTAACCCTAACCCTACCCCAAATCCTAACCCAAATCCTAGGATGACAGGTAACTATATCATTTGTTTCGTTCCCTGTTTTCCACTCCGTAATTGCACTGCAGCCAGGGGACTGAACTCTGAATAAGC